GTTCCTACAGTGCTAATGTCTGTGTGGCCTATATCTCAAAGGTGGAAGGAGCGGGGTTTGCCAGTAACAAGTGCCTGCAGTGCACAGCCTCCTTCCACCTTCCTCCTTCCCTTTCAGAGTCTTTCCAGGACCCTTTCTACACTGGGATTTTGCAGCTGAGGGAGAGCAAAGTGCCACTGGCCTGCTCTGCCTGCATGCTCAGGCTCTGAGTACAAGAAAGAGGAGCATGAGCACGCCTCTTCAGATATGGTGACAGTAAAGAATAAATAAGTATTTTGAAGACAGTGATGGGGAGTGTGCCCATAGTACTGCTTACTGTTAAATAATCCTTTTTTCCTATCTTAAAGGGATCTTTTACTTGCTGTTCAGTTCCTGGGGGATATATGACAGCTGTCACTATCTGTAGCTGAGACTTCCACTTCTACTCATCATACTCTCCCTTTCCATGTCCATGACTGGAAACCTTGGAAGTTACGGAGACAGAGCACTGTGGTCTTCCTAGGTTTTGAAACAGATGCCATTTATTCTTAATGACTTAACAGTACTTTGTAATTTGGTGTAGTGCTTGCTGTCAAGCTGCCTGGTCTGTTGTATAGGTGATAAACATTTTTCACACGAGTGTATTCTTTTTGTATTTAAATACTCAGTGGGTCAAATTAATTGTCAGCTTTATGTATCTTTTTGTAATACAAGACCAGATGGGTAATACTTTTTGTTTTTTTAGCAGATTTGATGCTCTGATAATTTGTCATTGTCTGTTGTGCAGTATTCAGGTACTCGAAATAAGCAAAACTATTCCTGTCTAATGAAGAGCAATAAATAGACTTGTGCTGTGTACTACCTGAAGTTTCCATTTTGTTCTGTGTTATGTTTTTCTGTACTAAGTGTGTCTTGAAGGAATTCCTTCATTTACCTCATGCTTTCTTGAATGAATGTATTTGTAGAACATTTTAAGTTATTTCTCTTCTGTATGGGTGGCTTTGCAAGACACTTCATAAGATTTATTTTTACATCTTCCAAGTCCACTATTATTTGTTGCTTTTGTCAGTATTATTTGACTTTTCTTCATAGGTGAGGAATATAAGGAATAGCCAGAGCTTCCAGAATTTTTTATAGCTTCACATAGAATTTCTCTTTAATTACTTGTAGCTGCTATTCCCATATTTAAAAGGGAAATGTATGTGAATATGTGTAAGCATATAACATGACAAATGAATGACAAATGAATGGCTAAGTTAATCAGCAAAGTCATTATAAAGGGTATATTTATAGCAATGTAATTATTGTAGCAATAGTCAAAGCTTTTTATTTTGTTTATTTGAGCATGACTTAATTGAGTAAAAGAACTCAAAAGAGCACAACTCGGAGAATGCTGGGCTGGTCCTTATCTTGAGGAACTTAAAGCTCAAGTAGATGTGTGATCCAGTAAAATCTTCAGGAAAAAAAAAGTCAAAAGGAAAGGTGGTTTTAGTTTGTTTTGTAAATACATGATGTGATCACGTGTTTTATCAAATGAGGTGGTTAGGTAGAGTTTTAGCTGTCTTAGTGTATTTTTTTTTTTATAACTGAATCCTGGAGTGTTTATTCTTGACAATATCATCTTGTAAACTTGTCTGTGTATTAATGGAATAGAGGTGAAATAACTTTCTAAACTGTTTTTCCTTTTAGCTTCCAGAAATGCTTCATGGAGATGGAGATAATGAAGAGCACGGTTACTGTCCCGTGGGGCAGTTCATTCTTCAGAATCTAGGCCTGCTTCTTGGATTTGCCATCATGCTGGTGATTGCCCTCTATGAAGATAAAATTGTGCTTGACATCCAGTTTTGACCTAATTCTGGTAATCACTGTGGTTACAATAATGTTACTGTATGGCTTTGAGTCTGCACTGTTTCACTGTATGCACATTGCTCAGAGGAAAAGCAGTGGCTTGCACTACTTACACAAGTACAGTATATTCATTTCTGTGTAGATTAACTTCTGCTTTTTTCCTAATTCAAATCAGATGAGATTACCCAATGCATCCTCTAACTCAAGTGACTGACAATTAGGAAATACTAAATGTGAGAAATAAATGCCAAGTTCAGTGTACTGAACAAGTACTGCTTGCTTAAGAAAGAAAATGTACAGTGAATGATCTACTCTTTGGGAAAACACCATTTCCTTAGTACATTTGAACAGAACCCAGAAAATGTTACAGTTGAAATTCATACCTCTGCAAGGAACCCGAGTAAGCTTTTAGTGCCACATAAGTCTTAAGTAGCATGTATATATATCTATATATATGTATAGATATATAGAGAGAGATAGGTATATAGTTATATATATAGATGTGCATGCATATATATATATGTGCATGTGTGTGTATATATATATTCATTCTGTGCTGATTCTTCTGCATAGTGGTGACTTGAAGTATTAAATCTTACAACAGCACATGACTGGAAACCATTGTGCTGGTTTAAATTTTAAAAAAGAAACCCAAATCCTAAACACTGTTTAAATTCTTAGAGTATGCGTTAAGCTGCACTCCATCATTATAAACTTCATGTGTAAGAAGGCAGGCTGTTGCAATATACGCTGCAAAGTGCTATGTTCTGTCAAGGATCAGTTTGACAATGTTTTCCTGACTAAGATTTATTTGATGTTTGTTCCTTGATATTAGTAGGAAAATGCAGTAGAATTAGTGTTAGCTTGGGGAAATCCCTGATGTTGGAGTTATTGAGCTATTTCTGGTTCTTTTTCACAGATGCTAAACATGTGTTGTGTGCCACTTGCAGCATAAACTACTGAAGAATTGTGGCTGTGAATTTGTGCAAACTCTCTTAACAGAGAACCCATATGGGAATTTCTCCATTTTTTTTAACAATTATTTTGGAATGGTTTCTCCTCTTCATGCTAAAACAATACAAAGTACAAGATGCTAATTTCTGAACCTGGGCACAAAGGTTAAATTACACTCTGTGTATGTAGTACTTAGTAGGTTGTTTACAATACTGTAAGATCAAAATCTCTTTCTACAATGCCTTGATATCAGACATTGTAGCACCAGCCATTTCTGGCAGTAGAGGGTATGTAAGAAGATTTTTACTTCCAGCATAAAGGAGTTAATTTCTATGATATTTTTTTACAATTTTGGTATTTAAATTAGATTATTAAAAAGCAGATGTGATAGATCTGTGGTATGTGTAATTTGGAAGGATAGACTGAAAATTTGGGCCTTACCTTGCTGGGATCAGCTGTCCTAGATCGGATTGTGCTGATATGCTTATATTGCCAGACATGAGTTAGTTGTTCTTGTACCCACTCCTTAAAAAAATTGTGAGTTTGTGAGGAGTGCAAGTTGATTCTGTAGTACCAGTCCTAAGCATGGTAGTGGCCTTTTTTAAAACATACAGTTTGTCTTCTTTTATGTGTATGCCAGGTAAAAGCTGTATTTTGACTATGTGCCGTAAGTTTTGTTTCGGTCTGCTTGGTGCCAGTGTAGCTACTAAAAACACTGATCCTAACGCCTGTAATGAGAGCCAGTTGGTATCTTCATTCCATTTCAAGTTAATGTATGTTTCCTGTGGCCCTTTACTTTTTGAAGCTTCATTGGTCAATTTAGTTTTTACTGAGAGCAGCTCATATATTTTAAAGATATCAGTTGATCCTTGCCAGTATTTCTTCCTAATGCAGTATCAAGAAACAGTATTAAGGGTCCATTTCAAAGAAGGGCGCAGTTTCTTCAGTGAAGAAGCCAACAGCCCAGAGTTCAGGCATGTAGCCGTTTGGTGCTCTGAACTCAGGCTTTCTTTTTCTTCTTTAAAGACGTTTACTGTTGGACCCTAATTAGCAAACACACTGTTGGTAGCCTCAGATTACTGAATTTCTGCAGTGTAAAGACCGTGGGTGACACTTTTTCCTAGTGCCCATGTTAGGTCACTGAGTACCATCTTCAAGGAGACTTAACTCATTGGATACCTTCTAGGGATCTAAGTTTAAACCACCTATGTTTCTTATGTATTAAACTGACCCTTAATTTTCCTTTTCTGTTATACTCGATAGAATTAAGGGGGTCATTATGTGGTTGAACTGATATTTTGTCAAATCGTTTTTTAAAATGTATTTCTTTGAATTCTTCTCAAATGAAAAATTCTATATTTCAGGTAGTATATTATTTACTTTTGTATTAGTTGGAATATGGTTATAGCTTAATACACTGCCTCTATAGGAAAATAGTTAACTAACTTCCAAGACCATCTTCAGACAGGGGAAAGACATGGTCCTTGAAGGTAGGTACTGTTTTTTCATTAAACATGGGTTGTTTCCTTTTATTTTTCTAGTATTTATTACAAGTTATGAAGAGCAGTGTAACAGCTGTGACTACTTCTATGTGTTTCCACCAGTATTGAATTCCAAATGATTCTAATGTACGCTTTTGAGTCATGTTACAGACAATCTGAATTCCACTACATTTCTACTTGGCTTCAACATTCCATTCTGCTTGAATCCAGAGTCTCATTTGACTTGTATTTGTTGGAGGGCATAAATGTTACTTGTATATTACAATGCTGTCACTGTGTGACATCCCATATGGATTTTGATGTAGATCACATTGCACTCAATCCGCTGTGATTATGCTTAGAAAATATTGTAGTTGCTAGATGCAGTGTGATTTTTTTTTTTTTCTTTCCCTTCCCCTCCCAATAATAATTGAGTCTATGGTTTAAAATGTGATGACTTGCTGAGCTACCAGTCTTTTTGTTATAACTAAATCATTTTTTTTAAATTTTATAAAGCTGGAAATGATCAAATGCTATTTTGTTCATTGTCAACAGTGTTGTGTTCATTTTATGTATATTCCTTATAAATAAGGAGCCTTCAGAAAATAAAATTATTCAAGGAGCAGATATTTTTGTTGGCTTTTATAAGGTTTTATTGTGCACCTTTGTATTTTAGTATTTTGTTTCAAATCTTGTGACAGGCACAAATGCGACATTGTAAACAAACTCATTTTGATTTTTTCTTTTTATGTAGCTTTTAGGACTGACATGCATCCCTTATTAAGTGATCTGGAAAATGCACCTACCTCCATAAATTGCGATAGGTTTATGAGTTAAGCTGACATAATAATGCCACACCCCGTCTGATCCAGTGTTCCTGTGGTTTGTCTGAAGGGAGAGTCATTGCAATGACAAAGTTGGTGGAATGGCCTGTAGTTGACAGGATCCCTCTTCTCTCACTGGTCTTGTACACTGGGGCCAGGTAACTTGGTCGCTGTGGAATGTCTGCTCTCTTACATGGCTTTAGCCATATCTGTAGTAAAGAAAAGAATAAAATAATCCTTTCATCTCAGTTAAAAAAAAAAATAGGGAAACAGTCTTAGCTTGGCCAAAGTATTTTGACATTGTTGGTTTTTTGTTTTGCTTGCTTTTTAACAGATAGCCCTGAAAACGTTGTTTCTTGTTTTCTCTTTCTTATCAGATTGCTTCCTCTCCCAAAATATGCAACACCAAACTTCCTGTCACTGTCATTATTAGCAGAGGATTCTCAGCTCCTCTCAGACACTTAATTTCTATTTCAACACAAAATATTTCAATTAAATTATTTTTTTAAAGAATTATGCTGTTACTTCCTTCAAGACTAGAACTTGAGTATTAATTCTACAGTATTTGTTGGTATATAATACTATAAAATCTAACCAAATGAAAGATACTGACCACAGGTACTGTATCATAGAGGATTTTTGGATGAGATTCTCCTAGCTTCTTAGTTTGCCTGTTCCAGCGTGCTCCATCCAAGAACAAGCCCTGAATGTAGACCCCTGAATCAGTTAGAAAAGATACCATATTACACAAAAACTGAAAATGTCTTCTAGCTGAGAGCAGCAGCTAGTGCTAGTGCAATGCACTTTGCTAACTGTCAGTTGATTGTGTGGGACTTTTTGTCAATTTTGTGTGTTCCAAGTGATGATCAAATAACTTTGAGTATAACTCAATCTTATACTGTAATACAATTTATGATGATTACAATTCCGTAAAGATTTATGAAGATACAATGTCTAGTGATATCATAGTGTATCCAGCCTTTTAGAGTGACGGAGGTTTAAAAATTATTCCAAAGCACAGGACACTATTTTTACAGTTGTCATTATAATAAAGTTTTCTGTATGTACTACAGTCAGCTTTAATGTTTCCAAACATGGAGATTTGATCATATAAACAGTCTTTCACTAGTTAGTCTTCACATTGTTTCATTGCTTATGTTTCAAATTGCCACTTGCTTATACCTTTCTAAAGCAGTTCATTAAAGAAGTTAAAATCTTTAAAAAACATCTTTATTTTGACATGTCATAATGTCATGACAGAATGACAGCTGTCATTCCATCAGCTCTCCAGAAGAAAACAATAAATTACAGCAACATCTGTTTTTCATCAAACTTGCACCTCCTTGCTCTGTAGACTGAAAACTGTAACTTCTAAAACAAAAAACCTGCCCCAACAGAAAATTACTTGAAACTGACTGGATGTGGCTCTCCCAGGCAACCTTCCAAGCCCTTCTTTTTACACAACTTCCAGTCAAACTGATCCTCAGAAAAGTATTAAAAAGTATATTAAGAACATTTCAGTTTAATCCGTCCTTTTTTCTGAGGAAGGGCAAGCTAACAAGTGTATCTGCAACTGGAACCTAAGGTAAGTTATATATAATAAAGTGGTTTGATAAAAAATAGGGCTTTTCCCCCCTTAGAGCAGTCCCCTATTGCACAATGTGATCATACCCATGAGATATTTTTCTGCCCAACTTCTGTACTAAATGTTTGATTTCCTTGGCTTAGGAAAATACATGTCTTCAGACATATATGCTAAAGGAGTGAAATGAAGAGGGGGGGAAAAAAAGCAAGCTAGATATCACTTGAGAGTTTGATCTGTTGTGGGAAGTTTGGGGTAAGGAGTGTCCTCTGTTGGTGTTATTTTATATCTGCATGCTAATCCAGGAGGTGAACTAATCTCAGCAGTTCTTAAGGACTTAAATAGTATTTTGCTGCTTCACTTCTTGTGCATATCATGGGAGGCAGTGCAGTTGTGTATGTTTTCCAGCTGAATTCATTAACTTAATTGCATAACTCTGAGTCTGCAAACTAATGTTAACTTCTGAATACATCAGCAAAGGCAGATAATTGTCATGCATTTACTTACCATCTTCAGGAGCAATTTCATATTCCTTATCTTCCAGCACTTCATAGTCAAATTCTAGTAGGTCTATTGGAATGGTGTATTTTCTGGCATAGTTCTGCTGGGCACCTGTTAAGAACGCTTGAGTGAAGAAGAATCCTGAAATCCAGAAGACTGGTGGAGTTCCATTTTCATACCACAGCTGCAGCAGCAAAAGAGAGAGGAGGAGAAAAGAAAAAAACTGCCTTTTATTTTTATTAGTATTTAGGAAAGCAGTTATCTTCTAGAATAACAGCAGAAGTAATTTCTCCCTTTGTGAATCCAGGATTGTCTTTTGCTTTTCTGAAAGCAGTGGAACTTTGGATGGCTGCCATGTCTTTTTAAACAACTTGTTTAAAATGCCACTAGCATCTGTTTTAAAACAAGCAAGCACACCAACCAAACAAAAAAAGCCACCCTCAAACAAAAAACACACACAAAAAAAACCCCCAACACTGTTGCCTGGAAATACTTAGCTTATGTGAATGACTTAGTCTGAATAAGTCTGTTAAACACACATCATCCTTGTAAGTTCATCAAACAAGTGTTCAATTCTCCTTCTCTCCCTCATTATTGAAGGCTGTTCAGCATTCACCTTTGTTTTTCTCTGCAAATGACAGATTTTTTCCAGGCTGTTTGCTCTTTGAAAGGGTTATATTTCCCTTCCAGGGCCAAAGTCACATGTTGTGTGTACAGCAACTTGAAGATGAGGGGGGGTGATTTCCTCATGAGGGGGATATGTGGCCTAATTAAACTTCTGTTGATTGGGGATGGGGAGATGCTTTTTGTTTGGGGGTTTTTGTTGGTCTTTTTCTTTTTTTTAATAGCTTACACTGTGGAGGTTCTGTATAAAAATTATTTTTAAAAATGCCAAAATTCATTGGATTTGGTTGTAATATATGTGAGGTCTGTTGCAGTGGTGAATATTTACTGCATGCAAGATGACCTTTTTCTCATTATTGCAAACATCAGTTTTGAATAATGTCTGAAAAAAGTTTGCTACAATTTTCTGCTGCAGAGAATTATAGTGAAGACAAGTAAACTAGTTGTCTCTACTAGTAAGTAGTTTTCCTCCCAAGAAATAAAAAATCATCCTCATAGCTATTGGCAGTTTTCCGTTTGTACAAGTTTAATTTCTACCCTGGATTCTGTTCAAGAAATGGCACTTTTGTTCTTTACACATACTGCTGTCAGGCTTGCTACAGATGGAACTGGAAGTTACTGAGGTGTGTTGACTGGGTAATGTGTGTCCAAAAACATAAAATAGAAGGTCTCTGGAAATGCAGATTTTGTGAATATCCTTCTAGACCTGAAACAGGATGCTGCTTTTGATTTTTTATTTTTTTTTTTAATTATGATTTTTGTTTCTAGATCTTTTGTCTGTCTTGGGACCTGTTCTTACAACAGGTATGGAGTAGGCAACCTGCTATGAGATTGGTTTTCTTCAGTTGATTGAGATTACTAAGCCAGAGAATGGCGCTGAGACTCTAGATGTTACTCATTTAAAGTCAGTTTTGGGAATCCGCACTCTTACAGGTGAAGGAACTCTACTGATTCTCCCTAGCTCATCCAGCTTTCTTCTCCAGTGCTCTACTGAAAGCTTGGTATTTGACTTTAACGTAAGATATTGTGTGAAAACATTTTACTAATTTATGTTTGCTGGCTGGAAAAGGAACTCAAAAGTATTTTCCTAAGTTCTATTTTAATTAACTTCATTACCACCACCAGGTCTACATGCAGTTTAAGAGGCCCTTAGTAAATTCGCTTCAGAAGGCCAATTCTGTCATACAGTATTACTGACATAGTGCATCTCTCTTTGTGAGGTGTAGGGTATGTGGCAAAATGTAGTGCTTTGTTAGATGCTGTGATGAGCAAACCGCTATACAAAACAGGTGCACAAATGAACTGAACTTTACCTGTCAGTTGTTCAGTGGAAGTAATTTGTGTGTGTGTGTTCACTTGTGGAGTTGTCACCTGACATCAATAGACAAAAATAATGAGCAGCATTGAACACATCTGTGTAAATAGGGTGTGCTCACCTGTAAGAACTTCAGTCTATTAAGGAAGTCAGTCACATAGCTGCCCAGAGGCTTGAGGCTTGGGTAAGACTTACTCATCCATAGTCCTGGAATTTTGCCTTTCAGAATGCTGTTTACCACTTCTTCCAGTTCAGCAGACATCACTACTAGCCCCTAAAACAAATTTGGGAAAGGAAAATGTCAAAACACTTTGCCTAACAGGCTTGCTTTAACGATTAAAAACATACGTGCTCTGTCCAACAATGTTTCAAACTTCAAGCTTAGTCAGACAGGAGCAACACTGAAAACAAGAATAATGCACATCATAACGGATTTCATAAAAAGTTACTGCGGTCTTCTGCCTGATCTAGTTAGTCACCAGATTGGTCAGGGAAAAGGTCCATAGCCTCTTTTGAAGAAAGCTGCCCATACTGGAAAATTCTCCCTTGCCATGGTCTTCCCACAGCACTTCCGAGTTTTACTAACTGTAAATATTCTTTTTCATTATTAAAGTTTCATCAAAACTCTGTGACATTGCTGCAGGTGTCTTATTCTAAAGTGGCAGACTTTCCAGTTTGGCCTTAACAGAGGGAAGAGTGGTGTTTGTGGGGGTTTTGGGTTGGTTTTGTTTGTTTGTTTTTTAAATGCCTCATCAGCCTTAAGCTATAATAGGATAAATAAAAATTACCCAAACTGACTTTTCCCTGCTTTTTTCTGTATTTTGCACAGCTGTAACTTTTGATTCCTACTGAGAACAAACATCAACTTTAGACTGTGATAACTGGAATCCTCATTGGCAGTAATTTGCTATTTGAGGTGTTGAGATCTGCTTTTAGCTGTAAGAAATCGTGTGAGGTGCTTCAGTCTTTCATGCCAGTGAGGCAGAAAACCAGATGTGAACCTAGTTACTGCTTTTCTTATTTGCTAGCAAATCTGTAGTTAAAACTTTCTGGTTTGGTTTCTCTACAGTTGGCACAATAGTACTTTTATATTCCATTGTACTCCTGTCAATTCTAAGATACAGATCAATAAATCAGTTTGGAATCCAGATTCTTTAAGGTTTTCCCTGACCGACCTGAATCAAGACTTCAGGGCAGTTCTCTAAGGTACTTGCACTGATAGGTCAGAGATTGAGTCTAGTTTCTAGGTATATGCCTTTAAAGGTTATATTCAGCTCACCTTTATTGCTTTCTGGATGTTAACACAGGAGTCCCGTATTGTCTGCAATAACTTGTTAAAGCGTCCCATCTCTTGGACAAGCACAGTATTCATGCTTTGAGTATAAGTGGTTGGATATCTTCTCATTGCTGCTTCAATGTCAAAATTTGGAGGAAGTTTGCTCAGGATGTCACCTGTGACTTCATGAACAACTTCATCGCTGGATTTTGCACCACCCCCAGATGCCCGAGACTAGAGAGAGACAGAAATTTGGATTTATTTTGAGAAAAAGAAAGAGGACTTAGGAGAGTGAATAGTTAAAATGCAGGAAAGTAGAGCTGTTAAAAAGGCATTGTTTAAAAGTTCATTACAGTTCTAACACTCTTCCCCTGTGATTGAAGTAAATTTGTTTCAGAATTTCCTGTATTATTGCAACGTTATTAGCTTAGAACTAACAAAATCTGGTTTCCTACAGATTTCTGTCCTCATTTTCTTTTGCTGAAATCCTTCTTCCACTGTAAACCAGTCTTTCTCCCCCCATCTCTGAGGTACCTATCAAGCACCACTGGCTGGCCAGGTGCTATGTGAAACAGCACAGAGCAGTGCCAAGTTCTGTCTCGCTGTCCCTCCATGTCCCTCTTGCTTTCTATATTCAGCTCTTCATTTTCCTCACGAAGCTCACAGGAACTATAGTATCCCTAGATTAAACCTGGCTTACCAACTGGACTGAAACTGGCCAAGAAGTTGCAAATTGTTAAAAGCTGGGGGAGTAGAAGATAGGCAAGCTAACTGTATGATCACAGAAGCTATGCTTCCTTAGGAAGACAGTCAGGAAAAATACAAAGCCAAAAAAGCCTTAAAAGATTAAGTGGAACAGTAATTTCACCAGAATGGAGGTACAACACAATAAGGTACAGTAAAAAGTGAAAAAAAATCTGAACATACTAACATGGAGATAGAGTAGAAAGTTATGGTAAGACGGTGCGTGACTTTTATTCTTTACATACCTGTGTAAGTAGAATGTTATCAAATAACAGTTGCGTTTCTGACTGATCCTTGGTAATATCAGCATTTGCGTTCATTCCAAATATCTCTGGGGAAGGATTCAGTGGAAGTGTCTTTGTATATTCAATATAGCTTTGATACTGGAAAAAAAAGGAAAAAAAAAAAAAACCTACTCAAGACTTAAAAGGAGATGCAGAAACAGCCCAATAGCTGGTGACAGGCTGTAAGACATGCCTCAAAACCACTACGAACTTTCCTAGCATAATGAATACAGTGTGTTAACTAAGATAGAAAAGGGAATAATGGGGCTGACTGTGCCTCACAAATTCATTTGGTCCATCCTCTTCCCCTGAAATCAGGATTGGCTTTGCTGAAATAATTTCTGACAAGATTTCTCACAGCTGTTGGAAATTCTCTTACAAAATAAGATACCTAGTGGGACGGGCTGCAGCCCCTTTCGGGGCCCACTGCTTGCCAAGTGTCTGAAGGCATTTTGCTGATTGTGTAACTTTGTATCCTGTGTGATAAATTAAGCTGATTACTGTCTCTACCTCCAGCAGATATGATCAACTAATTCTCTTATGCCTATTTTATAATGCTTTTAACTTCAGCAGGCTGTGTTTCTCCCTTATTGTCCCCTAAGTGTGCTGACTCACACAGAGCAAAGTCAATTTAGTTGGTAGTAGTTGGGGTGGGGTTTTTTACATCATTTCTGTTTCTTAGAAGTCACTGAAACAAGTCCTAATAGAATGTGAGATTAAGTCACAAAAGCAAGCAGTGACAGCAGTAAGCATTGAGGTACGTATCAATGTCAGTAAAGATAGATCTATTTTTTTAAAAAATAAGCTGTTGGTAAGTCTGTTGTTCTGGGATACTTACATCTCCTTCAGGAGGAGCAAAATAAAGGCCACTTGGATCAAATTTATAATCTACATTTGTGATGATTTCTGAGGAAAAGAACATGTTTAGAACACTACGGAGCGTACGCCGATCCCAGTCATCTGTGACTCTGCCACCATAATTACATTCTCCAGTCATATAGCGAAGAGCTTCATATGGCACTTCCTGAAAAAAAAGCAAGACAATGACCTGAACTGCAGCCTGGCACTTCTCTGGACAGCCATATTGGTATCATTGTAATTTATTTGGAAGTCACCCAGAATTCTCACTGGAAAGTGTAAAAGCTGTTATTTACTTCTGCTAGTACCATTGATATCCTGATCTTCAAATACTATAATAATCATCCATCAGCTCACCCAGCATTGCTTCTTTTGAAGAATAATAGCACCAAAAATTTCCATAGTAATGCAGCTGGAACTCCGAGTACAAGTTTATGGAAAACTTTTCCAAAATTATCTCTACTTGTTTGGCTATACATACTTCTAAAATAAATGTATGCTGTCACAGGGTCATAGCTGTGCTCATAAATCTTTTTTTTTTTTTTTTTTTTTAGAAAATAAACATGTTTAAAGTCTTGAGGTTGGGAGAAGCTGGACTCCTCTTAGGTGCATAAAAGGAACAAATTATGAGTGATAAGAGATAAATTATTTACAGAAAGTCAGGGCAAGAGTGGGTGATACGCTGAGAACTGGGATGAAGCAAACCAGCTGAAAAAAGTACCAAGAAATCTGTTTACTACATACAAGTTATTATCTTTTAGGAAAAAAAAAATGCTTCCCTCCCTGCTAGGCACTACATTTACTCATAAGCTTTGGTCATATAATGGGAAGTCAGACCCCGCTGCTTCACTCTCCCACAGGAAAAGAAACACACGCCTTCAGGAAGTTGCTTTCTCATGCTGAATCACAATTTACCTATTAACCACACTGATAGCCAAAAACACTCCAGGCTGACAGTGGTTTGAAAATAACACCCCCTTCCTGCTCCCAGCCATGACTTTAACAGATTCTGGCTATAGTGGGTTGCTTAGGAGGCTGGAACATAAAAAAGTGTCATGTATTGCTAGCAAATTCCAGAGAAGCTTCTATGAAACACTGCCTAGCTCTGCAAATGGAAGGAAACGTCATCTGCTGAATTTACACAAATAGATCAAGGTTGTTTGTCCTTAATCTGCAACAGTCCAGGGTCTAGTATTATCCCTATCATTGAGTAAATCACAGTTAGTTATTGTTTTAGTGCGATATTTTACAGCTTGCAGTCACATTGCCAAGAACTGAATCCACAGCTCCTGCCTAGAGACAGGATAAGATTCCAGCAAATAAGGCAACTATATGGAACAAATGCTGCTCTATTTTGTATGGCAGAATGTCTAACTTGTAATTTGAAAGTTTCCCACATCAGTTATATACACTGATGGTGGTACACTAACCACTGAAAATGACCGTGGTCAGCACTATTCCAAGTAGGCCTTGGTTTCTAATTCACTGCCCCCGCTAAACTGTGGCTTTGGCAGCATTCAGCCTGCATTGGTACATGCACTAATGGTCCTAGAGGGTGCAAGCAAGGACCGCTGACCGCTGACCACTGTGAGAGGTTGCTGTACCTCGTACTGGTCGAGGAAGATGTGCAGCTGCTGCACGCTGATGCGCAAGTCGGTCTCGTTGAACTCGTACGGAATGTTCCAGCCCAACGGCCCAAAATTCCGCCTTTCTTGCACTAGCGCATGGAAGAAGCACAGGCCGTACAGCAATGTCTTGAACTCAGCCTTAAAACCAAATGCAACACCATTAATAATTCATCGCTGGTTTAAATGGTTTCATTTTGTCTCACGTCCTGCACAGCAGTGCTGTCTTTGAGTCACGCAAAACCCAGCATCTGCTCTGGTAACATACTGTTTATGAGTCAGGGGTAGCTTTTTCTTGACATATAAAGGCCTTCAAAAATTGTCATAAGCATCAGTTCTAAATATTCTCTTAAACCAGTGTGAACCCTCAAAGCAATTTCATTTTTAAAGCTGTATGTCCATGTATATGTAATTAAGATACATGAGACATACAACTATGTGTATAAGACCATATACCTATGATTTTTTTTTTCTTTTTTCCTCATTGTCAAGATAGATTTCAGGCCTTTAAAGAAAAACTTCAGGTAGGACCTTTTGTTTTGTTTTTCAATTGAGACCATTTAGCAAAGCATATGACCTCATTTATAAGAACTACATTAATTACAGAAAAATAATGTAAAATATGCTTGCAATCAGACATCTAAAGATGAAAGGAGTGGTTAAGGCTTTTCCCAGTCTTACTTTTTTTTTAAACTAGAGATCTCTATTATTAATGCCATACCACAAAAATCTCGATTGAAGAAGTAGGAGATGATGAGCAATAAAATAAAAATTAAATTTACTTCACTATTGCCAGTAATCAAAACCAGTTTCATTGCAGTGGAAGACAACTATTTAATTTGGGAGGGGTTTTTTTTTTTTCCCCTCAGAGCATACATAGAGAGTCATCAGGATCTGCTTTAACTGATTTATAAAGTTACAATACAACATTACTAACAGGTTTTCTGCAGCTGTTGAAAAAGTCAGGATCAGATATCGGATCCATCAGGTACGAACGAATGACATTGGCCCGTAAACCTTTTGGTGCTTCATTAGTCATCTTCACTCCATTCTGAAGTACAGACACCGGGAACGTGGCAGATGGGTAACTGGTGAGCCAAATTCGGAAATCTGGATGTGTTGTATCAGGGTTTAGCTCCTACAATAAACACATATAAAAACAGGCAATTGGAAGACACAATAGATTAATATACACCTCAAGTGTTATTATTAAAGCAATTTTTTTTTTTAAAGTGGGAAAATATACCAGTCCAAAGTTTAATTTCTTACATGCTTATATGTGACTATAGTGAAAGTCAGAGTTATGAATGACAACTTCCCTTCTACAGCCGGTATATTTTTATTCAAGATTTCAGTATTTTGAACTAAAATTTGTCCTCTCTCTGCATGTTTGTGGAATATATGAACAAAACCAAGTGCAGGCTCTGTACCACAAGAGCAACAGAATGTATACTTTGCTCATTTACTGCACTTAACTGTCATACAGCTGTTCTGGGAAGGGCTATAGTAATAATATGTATACATCAGAAATGTGTTGTTTATTAAGGGGAGGAAAAAAGAAAGAAATATACACTAGTACCTCTTTGGAAACCTATAGCTGTTCAAGAGTAAAATTCCTTAGCATACTGCTTTTCTGCAGCAATAGATGTATGGTGAACGCTCTTGGCCTGAAGAGACCGTTGAAGCAGCAGGGATTTACCAGGCAAGGAATGGGCGAGACCCACCATGTTAGTGAGCACTTTTTATTCCAGCAGGCAGAAGGAAAAAGACAGAATCAATGTGATGATCACCCTTATAAAATGGGAATCGTCATGAAGTGTGCTAAGCCGGCTTTTCAGTCGCCTGTATAGATCAGACATGCCTTCAAAAGTATTTATAAGAAGAAGAGAATACTTATTTTTACCTCACAGACTCTTTCCAGTATTGGCATCCATGAACTTGCTAGATGGCAATTTTGCAGAACTATCCATGTTCCTTCCTTTACTGCCTTCTCTATCATTTTCATGGCTATCGGGCCTTGGCCTTGACCAAGTGACAGAGAACTAAGCTTTGTACCACCATATCCCTGCATATAAAAATCATATTACAAGAATAATACTGCATAAATACACTAAACTTTCTGGTATGAGAGTTCACATTCTTGAAATATTTACTGTACAGTATATTTTAAAATACAGTTTAAATATTTTTTCATGTCATTCCAGTTGACTAGAACCTCTTATCTATCTTCCAGTGAAAAGCTCCAACTACACATCCATTTGATCCAGAACAGTAAAATTCTGACAGTTGCAAAATACTCCTGAAAACAGTATGCTCTTTAAGGATGTAGACAACCTGCTATAAAATGCAGGATACACTTGCAGCTTGGTGGTTGGAGCCTTGAAGAATGTCTGTCATTCTCAACAGCACAGAATTCTGACAGAATAATAGTCAGGAAATGCAAGAAATACATCCTACCAGAAAACAGCAACTTTCTAGTATTACAACAGTACTTTTCTAAATAAGAACTGATTTAGGCTGTTGGGAATTTTTTGTTTTAAACACCATAATAATGACAGTCAAAGCAAACAAAAATACATATTTGAATTCTGAGGTGTAAATGCCACCCAATATCCTATCTATATCCTATATATATGTAAGGTCCTATATTACTACAGTGTTTTTTAATTAATATATTACACATAATGCTTATTAGAACAAAAATACCGTTTTCAGATACAATTCCTTACAATGAACGTTTAAACCATTATAGTTTTGTTCCATTTTTCCTTTTTCCATTTGAGTTTACACAAACTAATTAGTTAAATAGATCATGACATCACAACAGTATAAAACATGCCAAAAATATTTAACATGCAATTTCTTATAGACAAGAGACAAATTATTCATTTCTAAAAACAATCCACTTGCTTTAATTAGTGCTTTGTGTTTAAGAGAATCATGAGATCAATTTTAACATGTTTTTGGGCAGTTAAAAACTGGTTTTTGAGTTTACTTTGGCATTTCAACTTCTACTTAAATAAAGTTCCTTGCTTCATACAAACATGTGCATCCGCACGCACGTGCACACACACACAAGCATCAACTATATTAAAAAAAGCTGGAGATATTAAAATACCTGATCATCGGCAAACTTAAGAAGGGCTGCCATGGGGTCAGCGCCAGGAGAAAGTATAAATATCAGCGGTGCACAAGAATGACTATCAGAAAATGCTTTTGACAAATCAAATGGAGGTGGCTCAATAAATGGACGGCCCAGGTTGTGAATGATAAACTCCTGCACCATTGGTATTATCTAAAAAAAAAAAAAAGGCAAAAATAGAATTAAAGTGTCCTATTTTTGTGTAAGCATTAACACATATTACTCCAAACATTTTAATATAAATTTCAAGGACTGTATTCCTGCATATAAAATTAACTACAAGTACAGTCCCAGAGGAATCAGTGATTTAGCATGTGTATATCTAGGCAAAAAAAGATGCTCTAAGAGGGTTGAAATTGGAAGTCCTATGTAAATGATCCTTAATCTCATTTCTGTCACCACATCTGGACACACTAATGTGCTGGTATAGGAAGCCAGATTTTTTTCTGCACCTACTCCAACTGTATTATGGAGAGGATTTCAATTTTCAAGTCTTAATGCGACATCTTTCAAAGGTGTTAAGATCTTGGCTTAGAAAACTGCTGTGTACAGCAGTCTTGTACACATTGGTGTTTAAACTTCCTACTGAAGTTAAGTGGGCTCTGTACCAAAATGAGAGACAATTTATAAAATGACAGCTTAATGCTTTGACCCTGTAAACCCTTACAGATATAATTCTTTTAAATATCACCATTCATTCTGTCTCTGAACACACACTAGAATATTTTACAATAACCACCTCCCCTTTAAAGAAATGCTAAAGGTTTCAAATAGTAATGTTAATTCAACCATTTTGGTCACAATCAGGATATTTTTAAAAATTTTATATGTAAAATTGTTGTATTTGTAACTAGAGTTTTTGACTTGCATTTTTGACATTTCAATTATAAAATTTGTAATTTTCATACTGCATTAGCATAGGTGCTTTTAGTTAATAAATATATAGTGTGACCAAGTACACAGAATGTGACACAGCAGGAAAAAAGTTCCAGTAGCTTCATTTCTCCTGATTGTCTTGCTCATAAACTCACCTGTGTTTTTACTTGCTTTAAAACTTACCCTGCTTTACAGGTGCAATGTGTCACCAATTAGTATAATGCCTTAAATTTGAGAGCAGGAGGGAGGCTCTGGGCTATATGAATTGCAGGCTTTATAGATGGAGATGCTCTTGAAAGAGCTTGGTTTGGCTTCCAAGCTCTTGAGTGATTTTAAGGATATGTATGAATATGAGAACCGTTTAAAAACCTTCACAAAATGGCCTTTTATAGAGAACTGCAAGTGCACTCCAGAGAATGTAAGTCTGAAAATGGATATTTTGACTATGCTGTATTTTTTCATATACTGTGCCTGAATGTGAAGTCATTATTAAGTATATTTGTGTTCAAGAAGAGTTGCGAGCTTCCACTAAGCCTGAAGAGGGTGACAGCTTTCCTCTGTTCCCTGCTCAGAAATACTGTAGTAGGATGACTGGCTTCTGCGTGTTGAGTTCACTAGTCTAGCTACAGAATTGAATGTAGTTACTTCTCTTGTTTTCTTTTTTTTTTTGGTTGTTCTTGTCACTTAAAAGTTAGTTTCTTGTATTATGTAGTCTTCTGATTGCAAATTGTCATTCATAAAAAAGAAGCCTACATTGGAAGAAACCAGTACACATCCAGCAGGAAGGATGACGTAGGAGAACGATTGCTACTTAAAATTCAGAAATTGAAATTATTTAAATTTTAGAAAACTTAATGTTTATGTCCCTGCAGGCTTTGACTTGAGCATTAAAAAAAATCCACCTGACTTCTACTTTGGCACACACATGAAACTTCCTGGCTGGATCTCAGAGGAGTCATACTGCAAGAGTTATCTGAGAAAGTGTGAAGCTTTTGATAACTGAAACAAACTTAGTTAATTTTTAGTGTTCTGACCAGACGTGATGCTAAAGTGACAGGAAAACATAGAAGTTAAAGATGTAGCATTTTACTCACATAACTTATATTTAAAGGTTCTCTGTGTCTATGGTCTTATCCTATGTTTTTTCTCTGAAAATATTCTTTAAAGTCCTGGCTATGGCAGATCTCATGCACTGATACTGAAATGCCTGTGTAGCTATGGCATCTACTAGATGTTATCTGGTAGAACAAAGCTACTCCAGTAGCCTGCAGATACCACAGCTATGCAGAAACCTGTTCACTACTTGTAGCCTACTCCTTGTTCCTTTGCTAGTTGCTTATTTACCTGCTTGCAATCTTCACATTTAAAATATATTTTTCAGCCTGATCTGTGCTGATAGACATTGTGGGGAAAGGCGTTATTTGCAAGCTCTCAGAAACAGTTTGCTGATGTGAACATGAGCAGTGTATTGGAGGAGGCTCTAAACTTCTAAACTGTCACCTGCAGATGGCAAAGGCGGGCTTTGTCCACTGTCCAAATGCCAATGAACCAGATGTGGCAAAATGTTTCTTTTGCTTGATAGAACTGGAGGGCTGGGAACCAAATGATGACCCATGGTAAGCACAGATGTAACAATGTTCTTGAAATATTCCTCTGAACTTCTTTGACAACATCCCCTTACTCATTATGAAATTACCAATTTCTCTGTAACGGTTCACAAAACTGAAGCCTACTGAAAGTTTATCTTACCCAGTAACCTTGAAATAGTTGAACTAGCTTGTATCTGAGATCCACTAAAATCTATTTCATATGTTTTCTGTATGATACTTTTTCTACTGATAGACAGTAGAAGCACTGAAGAGACCTATCTGTTCAGATTTCTTCATCTCCTGAAATGCAACTTTCATGGGTTTAATATCTGTTCTTATTCTGGGTTTACATTGCAGGGAGGAACACAACAAACGTCCCAGCTGTGGCTTTTTATCCCTTACTAAGCACTTTGATGACCTGACAATGGAGGAGTACTACATGCTGGAAATGACACGGCTGAGAACCTTCCTTGTAAGTGTTAACCAAATAATCTTAATATAAGATTCAAAGCCAGAATGTAAACAATAACTTCCATCTCTAAGATTTCCAAGCATCAGCAAGGAGTGACTGTGTAAGGCTAGAACATAGTCTGAAGTAATGATTTATGTGCATTATTGGCTAAGAAGTCTGTACCTAAACACTTCTCAGTGTAGTTTATTGTCTAGCTTTTGAAGGAAAACCTGTTTCCTTTAGAAATGTTTTTCTAACAACTCATTACAGCAGAAAAAAAATCTTGGGTGCAATAATCAATCAATCCAGGAAGCTCTACAATGCTGCTCATCATCAATGCTCTATCTTTCTTGGAGGGATGAACAACACATGTGAAAAGACGAAATTTGACCAGATCATTGATTCACATGTCTAATTTTACAAGTAAATCAGTCTAATTAAGCTTTCAAACTTTAAAGCCCATTTCAAGTGTTTTACAGTTATCCAGTGTTACTCCTCCCCACTTCTGGAATATCATGCATGCCATACTGTTGACGTATACAAAAGCACACAAAACTGAGCTGCTTCAACTAGTTCATCAGGACGAGCTGATTTTTGATATATAACCCCTAATCCTATGGATAGTAAGAATCAAGTGAACCAAGTTCCCTGATGAGGCACAGTAAAGGTTCTGCATCTTACTTCCTGGTGGGTTTGCACAAGTAAGATCTTTGCCTTGCTGATAACGTTCCATATTGAAAATATACCTGGTGACTGTCAAGGTTAAGTATTTAAGTTCCCTGTACAACAGACTTAAATACAAAAAACAGGATCAGATGCTGCAGTAGGAGCAGTCTGGTATCTTAAAAGGTGGACTAAGTGAGAAAATGATGTTACCTAATCTGAACAGTGAATGACTTAGAGCAGTGTTCCAAGGTACAAAAGGGGTCTTGGCCATAATCATATTACTTTATTTCTAAGTACAGCATATAGAAAACTTGAAGCAGCAGCTTCAGGTGGGGACACTTTGACCCCAAGAATACTGTCACCAATAGCTTGGAGGGCTATGCCCTAGGGCTGATCCAGAGCATGCTGCCATCTTGAAGCAGCAATATCTTAATGCATCCTGAGAAGCAAGATCACGCCTCTTCTCACAGAAGGAAATCAAACTGAAGTCTCCCTCCCTGATGTGATTTAAAATAAAGCTAAACAGCAGGTTCACAATTTACTTTTGTTTAAAAAAAAAGTATACTAGACATACCCAAAGTGGTCACTGAACTGATCCCTACTGGCAAGGCTGGTGGAGGAGTCTCTGAATCAAATGGGCGTACGCTTATGAAATACCTGCCAAACTGCTCTGTGCCATTCAGACAGCAGTATTGCTGACCATAGCCAAAAGCAGACTTCTAAGCTAGAATTAGTGGCAGATCAGTGGGTTTTTGAGGATCTAAGTTTAGAATGTAGTTGAACTAGACAGTTAAATTGCTCAATTGAAACTTTCAATCTTTTGCTTTGCTTTAAGCGCAAAACTGGCAGAAGCATAATAAACTCTTTTGAAGAAGAAGTCACCGCAACTAGGCAGCGTCTTGTGGATAACTTTGTCTCCAAGCATCAGTATACACCACCACTACCAGTGCCTGTCTGTGATGATCCATCTGCCCAACATTCTGAAAGCTCATACCGCCAGTCAAAAAAAATCCAGAATTGAAGTGTAAAGTCTGACTCTAAAAGTTTCTCTTCTTTAGATGATACAAACACTTATATTTTTATCTGAGTACTAATATAAAGCTAAATAGTTGTGTGCAGAAGTGTGGAGAATTCCTTTCATAGGCTCTCTGGAATAGAGGTCATAACTGTTTATAACTAACTCCTATCTTTCACAATGTGTTTTGTCATTATGCCTAGGCATGGACTAATAGTAGTCCCACTAACCTGTGAATATATGAAAAATGTCTAAAATACTTACATTCTGGTTTTTAGTAGGTTGACTCTTTTGGAATAAAGATTCACAATTGTGAGCATCTGTTGTGATCTGTGCCACATTCAAGCCTTACAGCTAGACAGACTCAAATCAGAACAGTTCTGCTTCAAAACATTTTCCATAGAACAAAATGGATCTATGTGTCTGCAGTAATTGCTACCTTTAAGCACCTACGTTGTCTATACTCCTGCTTACCATTATTAAATTATCTTCCTAGATCAAACAAAATTTACCATAGGTGGTGACATCCATCAAAAAAGTTACAAAAGCAAAAATAGCAGGTATACTTAAAAAGGAAAGTCACAAGGTTTGTAAGAGCCTCAAGGAGGGAAAAGCTCTGGGGATTTTGTTGTGTGCACTGAAACTTAACAAAAGCCTAGAGACCTACCCTTCTGTTTTGAAAAGTTTTTTCATTACAATTTCAAACTTGCCCCTTTTTTTGAAATCCCATTATTTCCTATTTTCCTTTATAATAGACTGTTGTAGAATGGTTGTAGACAACACTTGCAAATACTTTTGATTTCTAAGATGGACAGACCTTTTTGAATAAGGTGAAAGTTTCATACATACTTTGTCAGGTCTCAGGCAGCGAATGATAAGCATCCTTTGGAACTCCCCCAACTTGTCTTGCCACTCTGCAGGAAAATCCTCATGCTGGGGATCCTAAAAACATATGTATTTCAACATTCTTTAAAGCATTTGTGAATTACCTATAGTGAGAGTAAATTATCTTTTAACTTGACACATTAATCCATGATTTATTTTTTCTTAATCTACAGGAATGGGGTTGACATGCTTAAAGTTTAAAAAAAAAAAATTAAATATATGTTTATCTAAGAAGCTTCTCTTATAGCAGAGATGCTGTAGTAATTTTTAAGTGGTTAAAAGATAATAATCCAAAGTTCTTCTCTAGAAAGTGGAGAAGGAATGACGTGGAGGAAACTTGAAAATGCACTTTACCCCCCTCTTTCTGTTAGAACTGAATTATGGTGTCAGTCTTCAATATTACAATGATAACCATATAATCAATGACAACCACACTACAGTATGACATGATAACGATGAGTTAGGTTGCATCTGAATGCAGAAAATGAGTACAGGAAAACAAAAATTGGAAAATTAAGCCAAACAATGCACCAGAGAACTTAGTTTGTAAATGGCCCAGGAATAATCCAGCTGTTATGTCATTATTGCAGTTACCAGATTGGGAACAGCAGTCTGAAGACTGAAGTACAGAGCCAGCTCGGTATGCCTTTGTGGAAACTGGTATTACAGCTCTGCTGGTGAGCCTCTCAGGCTTGCCTGTAGAGGGCTGGGCACAGAGGTATGCAGACAGACCTGCACAAACTGCATTCTGAGCAACTTTGATTTAGCAAACCAAATGAGAGTAGAGCTCATGTTCTGCTAAGGATCTGGAGCCTGGCTCCCTCCTTGCCCAACTTCTAGGCACTCAGTTTCAGATCAGAATCCAGAATGCTGCATTATTTTTATATTAATATATGGGGAAAATAGGTACCTCAGTATGACATCTATAACAGCTGTTGAAGAGTTAAGCAAAAAATTTGCAAGCTTTGTACAAAACTGAGCAAATTAGAAAACACTGAGGAGTGAAGGTTGCACTGAACACTCCATTGAGTTGTGCCACTGTGCTGAAAACTCTTCACTTCTCCATGAGAACAGAGGCATCTGTAGCTTTGAGATTAAGTCAGCCAGCTAGAGGAGAACTGAGTTTCAGTCCCTGCTCCAAGATATGCAATACAACTTTAGATAAAAATACATGGAGTCTTTGAATCAGGGCATTGAAGTCGTGTGTCTCGTACTTCTGGAACCAACCTGATCTACAACAGTAGGAGGAGAAAAGTGCATCTCAAACTCTTTCGAAAAACATTCATAGTCAGTGTATGGTTGCTGATGACAAAATGGCTCAAGCAACATTGATTTTTCTGCCCTCTCTTTATTAGCACACATGCATATATGCATGAAACTGCCTTTTATTTAATTTTGTATATCACTAACAAGACAGGAGAAAAAGCTGGTTGCATATTACTGGGGATAAAAACTACAGTGGTAGTAATTTTTAAGTGGTTGAAAGATAATAATCCAAAGTTCTTATCTAGAAAGTGGAGAAGGAATGACGTGGAGGAAACTTGAAAATGCACTTTACCTCCCTCTTTCTGTGGTGATAAAAAAAAAAAATACAGCTATCAAAAAGGAATCTTCTGCAAGACCCATTAAGTAGCATTTTTGAAAATTCCAGTGCATTCACATGAAAGTACTAGTATTAAAGCTAGACAGGTAATGAAAATGTTTTCACATAACAAGTAAAAGGCATAGAAACTCTTCCATATCAGGACAATGACAGATAATGCCATTCCTTTTGATCTGGCACGCAAAGTTCAGTAAATGAATGTTCCTGGCTTCAGTGTTACTGTTTATTTGATTATCAGTTAACTGATGACCTGATTCTATAGATCTCATTTTATTGAATGCCATTTAAGTGAAGGAATTTCTATTTATTTCAGTTTGGCTGTGCGAATGCACACATAGTTATCACACACATCTTGAATCTACTTCTAAAGTCAGCACCTTTCATTTATATTAGGCATTGCTTTAAAACCTATAATCCCAAAGTGCATAATGAAGTAGTACCCTCCCTCAATCTCTTTTTCAAATGCCATCATTTCTCCGTTCATTTTCCAAGTGACTATTTCCCAAAGAACCACCAGGGCCCTCAACTTGCTGAATCTTTTTGTAAATGCCCAAGGAAAGCTTTATCTCTGCTATTTGCCTGTTTCGTGCAATCTGGACAACTGAAGGAGCTGCAGCTGCTTAGTTTCTTTAATGTATCTCATCATACACTTATGAGCCTTTGCAACCAAAAATCCATTCTTTTCCTCTCCACATACTTTAAGCCTATTTTTTAAATATAAAGGATTTCTAAATCCTTGACATTTGTAATGAATAAAACACACAATTAATCTTTTTTAAATGGGTGTAAGAAGTCCTGGGTCATTTGACTGAATATTGGTGATAAATTTTCATCATTTAAATTAACAGTAAGAAAAGTGGCTAAACGGACAGTATTATCTGAACACGGAAGTGGTTATGGTCAGATATGGTGCAAGTAGGAAAGAAGGATAACTTTTAATCATTTGTTCAGGAGGTATGTGTACGATGAGCACTTTGCATATCAAGAAGTAGAAGGAGGAGTATGATAAAAAAAGGAATTAATAGTAAGATTAAAAATTAAGCAAGTGCCCAAATATGGAGTAAAATTCACCTGAAGAGCTTAGATTTTAAGGAAACAGTGATGAAGTTAGATAAAGACAAAATAAGTCATTAATGCATATATCAGGTCACTGTGAGAACTGAGAATCATGCGTCTCCCAAATCCCATTCTAGTTTCTCTACATGGCAATAGCTGTTTTTTAACACTTGTCCAGGAAAGCAGCATGCTACATAATAGCATGAAAAGGCATCCTCAACACACAGTAAACAAATGTATAGACTGACAAGGGACAGTGGTTCCCTTAAGTTTAGCAAATTTCACCATCACCTTACCACTCCGGGTTTTGTTGCCTTTTTTCCATCCAAGTTTAATTCAAATCATGACTTGCTATTCAGAAGCCACCTGACAAATTGGCAATAATCTACTACACACCATCTGATTAAATGTTTACATTCATATATGTAAGAACATACCATGTAAAATGACAGCACTTTCTTTTCCCTGAATAAATATTTTCAATGTGTTAATTAGCTTATGAACGTAAGCAATCAGGAATGTTAACATACCAAGCTGTCATATACCAATTTCCATCCATCCTTCAGTCGCGTAAAATCCTTACGAATGTTTGTGAAGCATGGCAAATCTTCTAGTCGACAAATTTCATCCCATGATTTTGGAGGAAGCCAGGTACATGGATTAGAAAAGGGATTGTCCAAACCTATGCCTCCAGTCAACAGGAATTTCCACTCGTTCTCATTAATCTGCAGTGAAAAATACTGCTCTCAGGACTAAATAAATAAAATCTAATGGTTTTAGTACATTATGTAGGAAATCAATATATGTTTATCTTAATTCTTCCATTCATTGAAAAAGCTTCTATACAACTACTAAACGCTTATTTCCAAAGAATTCAGTGTCTGGTTTCCAGTTAAACATGAATTTAAGGAATCAAAAAACCTAAGATATGAGCCAATTCAAAGATTCAACTGCATTCCTAACTCGGGGAATGAACAATCTTAACTGATTAGATTTTTAGACCCATTCTTCAAATCCCAAAATGTTGAAGGGAAAGAATACTGGACGTATTTCAGGAAACCATGCATTTTGCAACCTTTTCCTATAATTCAAGTCTAAACATGAAAAAGAAATATAAGCCTATTACACGTCTCATTCCTTTCTCAATACTCCTTTATCTCAAAATTTCTTTGATGTCTTGAATTTGTAAATTGAAGTTCCTGTGAATGGGAGAACAGTGTCCCATGATTATTACTGTCAACTCCCAAAAGAATTCACTTCTATATATTCCCCAATATAAAAATTTCAAAAGTTTCTAAAATTTTAAATGTTTCCATATTACATTTGAAAGAAACAACTCCAAGCAACCATAAGTACTGTTTTGCAGATGATATGGTTAAAATGCATGTATTCCATTATGAATTTAAAAAATCCTGTAAAGAAATATTTTGTAACGAATTACTAGAAATTCATAGAATTCAGTTGGTACAAGTGTTTGGTTTTGGGGAATTCTATGCAAAAATAAACACATTTAGCACCTCAAGTGAAAAAGATGAGTAGTTTAGTTTCTTAAATCAATGGTTACAATTCATTTTTACATGCTCTTAGAACTTGGAATACATTACAGTAAAATTTTTCAAAGTGTTCACTGTAAGAATAGCATAGGCCGGGCTTTGGTTTCAGTAATGTTTAGAAAAGGTGTCATCATCTAGCTCAGTTTTGCCATACCTCTTTGTTATATACTTATTTTGTTCTAGAGAATCTTTTTCAATGCTTATAAGTGCTTATTAAAATGAAAATAAAACACCACAAAATTGAGGGTTAAGTAATATAATCGTATATAAACTTATTTTTCTATTCTTATCCTGTATGTTCCTATTACTGATAGTTTGTATATGCAGTTTAATATATATCATATCAAACTGCAACATTTTTTTTAATTACTGACCAATCTTTCATATTTCAGGAGATTCACAGTTAGACAAAAAGAGAAGAGCAGCTTGTCCTTTTCAAAGAGAGAGCGACAGACATTGACGTAAAGTGAGTAAGTAAAATGATCCTTGAGAATCTTCAACCTACAGGCGTCAGAAAAAGAACAACCTTCCATTAATACCACTCTACAGAGTATTTTCCTTAATACACTATAATACAAATATATTTAAAACTCTGTGATTTATTATCAATAATTTCCTTTAAATACAAAGCAAGGATGCCATCTATTGTTTTATAGAGGTTTAAGTTTGAATACCTAGTCAAAATAACGAAAAGTCCATTCTGGTGGTTAGAAATGCAGTGTCTAAATTTGCACAGCTACTTAAAATAGTTCTTTCAAGGTAGTAACAAAGATCTGGAGAGGTGCTATGACTTTTTTCCAACTACCTAGGTCACCAATCCCTTGGCAGGGAGCTACCTGAAAGGTATTCCTGCAGTTCAGACATGGTGATCATTCAGAAACCTAAGTATGATCTATTATAATTGAAACACGGAAAGCTCTTGACAGAACATCAAGATTGAGAGCAATCTAATGTTGTTTGATCTGTGTCTCCTTTTCAGTCTTGTGTTTCAATCTATTTTTTGTTTTCTTCCATTCAGCTAACAAGAAATTTTTAATAATATTGCTGTAATACATAAATGCTCCTGGTTTTTTATTAGCATTTTAAGTCCTGTCAAAATTACTGATTCCTCATCAGTTAAATGGATATGCACACAATTTATACACAAAATACTGACACATGTACACTTTTTCAAATTACAGATGTAGCATGGTTTGCATGAGAAAAGAATTATTAAAAAAAAAATCTCAGCACAGAGCCTGTAGTAAAAAATGTCTGACCAGTGAAGATAGCCCAAGACAAAGTCTTATGTGAATTATTAATTCACAGAGAATTTTCTTTGAGTCTGTCTTCCTCTGCCTTCACTGGGCAAAATTGTCAAAATGGGCTTACACCAATCATTCCCTGGGAATGCATACTGTCAGCTGGGATTGAGGTCCTGTATCTCTATTTCTGCTGACAGACAGGTTCTGAATCAAAATGAGATTATTTTATTTATTGCTTACTTTAATTTAAGCACACAGGGTTTTTTTGAGATATAAAAGAGTAAGAATTAAAGTCAAAGAGTTAGGTTTATAGAACACAGATTGGCTTATTGGTAAAAGGCTACCTTGAATGTCGTTTTAAATATTATACCAAAATATTAAATTCTGACTTAAATTATTAGTAGCAATACATTTGATAAACAGTTATGCTAGATTTAGATTGCCCAGACCTTGACTAAATTCTAATGAAAAAATAACCTTCATAACCAGTATGCCACTAAACTGGACACTATGCATTAAACTACACACTAAGTACTACCTTACCAGGTACTTCAACTTACTCGTATTTAAATAAAATATGGACAGTAATGGATAATTCAGAAATTGCCATTTGCAATATTAATTAGAAAAATTTTCTATATACAAATTGGGAGAGTAGTTTCCCTCCCCCATTCTTTGTTCATTTGATGAACAGGCAAGTAGCTAAGTAACAGAAGCAATGCTCTGTGCTTTGAAGACCAAATAAAGCCACTAAAGTAGAATTTAGTAACTGATGTGATAGAACACTGAAAAACTTCCTTATAAACAACCTCTGTGTAGATAATTCCCTTCAAGGGTATATTGTGAATAATCCTAATGTGATCATAATAATGAGGTTCATCACATGTAAAATAAATTCAGATCATTAAAGATTGCACAGTTTCTCCTATTCTCATGAACAAGCTGGAAGAGGGAGGGATACCTTAAGTATAAAACAATAATCAAACTGAATTAAAAAAATGGTTGGGTTAATAATTACTGCCTTGCACACTCTACAGCCAAGAGCCCCAGTCACAAGACTTCATTCTCTCTCACCAGTTGTATGAAAAAGTTTCTTGTCTGTTTCTTGAAGACGTACAAAGTCACCACATGAAATCAAATATATATAAAATCAAAGCAAGTGGACCATTTTTATCTAACTGATACTTTGTAATTTCACACATGACTTGAGGTAGCAATTACTAAATAGAAATAATGGAATATGTTGCACTTGTAATATATTGTACCATTTTGTTTCTATGAATAAATTATTTTCCATAAAAATATCTGACATATATATGTACAAAAAAAATTCAAAATTCAATGCCTGAGGCAATACACTCTGGAGAAATGACAGTAACATTTCTGGAGTAACTATGAATACATCACCAATTACAAATGGTGAATTACCACTCTTACCTTGTTTGTAAAACTTCTGATTGCTCTGAATTATCTATAGACATGATGAAAAGGTTAATAAACCACATGAGTGAATACTGGTACATTGGCTCAATGTTGGCTAGATCAGCAATAGAAAAAAACAAGATTGACGAATGGATAGCAATAGGACGATAGCCCATACGAGTAGCATCAATCTTCTTTTCTGTCTCTTCAGCTACAGCTTGCTTTTCAGAAATCTCATTAGCCAGAACTTTGGAAGAAGACAATATCTTGACAGCAGTTTCATCCTCCAAAATATTTCCTTCTGAGGCTGAAAGAACTTCTAAAATCTTGTCTTCTATTTCTTTTAACTGCCTAAAATAATATACAAGATTTTTCACATATGAATATTACAGCTGTTTTCTGTTAGTTTCCATAAAATAAGACAATGTGTAGATTCTATACATGGTATGCAACTTAAACAACAAAATCTTTTTTTCTTCTTATTATTATTCTTATTCCCTTAAATTTCTGAAAAATTTATCCACGTTCAGGTTAAAAATGGATGGCAAAGAAGGAAGTGACAAACCACTTTCGATACTGCACATTTCATGCTTTGACCCATGGGGAAAGATGCCCTTTGCCATGTACAATCAGTGCAAATCTAGCACACAATGAAAACATTTCTAAAACACAACTGTTAATATCTAATCAAAATCTGTGAGAACAGCAAATCATATGCCATCATCATGGAAGGGATGCACAAAAACAGAGGACAAGATCAAGAGTTACATTTTGCAATTACACAACCAGCAATTCAGCTCTTTAACATTTTCTAATAATCCCAGAAACAGGAAACTATGTCAGAAGAAGAAAGGCACAACCAGTAAGAACATGAGTAAGAGCATGCATCCAAATCAGCCTAAAAACCAAACAGAAGCCTAAGTTTGGGCTCTCAAAAATAGCAGTCTTGAATTTCCTGTTAAACCAAAGAAAAACAAAAAGTCTCTGAAATGTATTTCCCATGACTGTATTTCCTTAAACTGCAAGCTACTTCTATCCCTAGCAAGGGAAGTTATCTTGATACCTTTTATTCTCAGCCCCTTGAAGAATGAGGGCTTGTTTTTCTTCTTCAAGATCTGGCCTTTCTCTTGCAACTACAATTCCAAGAAGCTGATCCTGCATTCCTTCTGATGTTATCATGAAGTTCAGTAATGTTACCTGTTAGAAGAAGTATTTTTTGAAAGGTAACACAGTTACAACCAGATGCAATTAAAATGCTTCTTCATTTACAAGATGAGGTCTGTATAATATCATGTACAATGCTCAACCAAACTTTGAGAGTAAATGAATTGCAACTGAGGGTTTAAGATTATGTGTTGGAAAGCTAACTCCAAGATTAACCCAGAAAGTTAACCATAAAAGGGATGTGACAAGAATGTATAGAATTTCATTCTGTTCCTCAAAATTACACTGAAACTTTGAATATCAGTGCTTCAAGTGATTGGACTGTATAACATGGACAAACACTTTTACATGCAAGAGGGATCTACCCATTTGATAGCTGTATGCATCAAGCAGCCTTCACAGAGAAAAGAACAAAACATTTCTATGAATGGAAGATTCAGCTTAATTTACAGATTTTGTAAATAAATTTGGTATTGTTTGTTTTCCAGAATTGTTCCATCTGAACATCCCAGTTCAAATGGGATGTTGGCACAGTATTTTGCAAAAAGATAAAGACCAGGTAGATCACATTTTATGGTGTTCAGAAACTTTTCACCCATAAAATTTTTGCTGTTTTTATAACGTAAGCAGTAACGTATATGCTGGAGTTGTACTTCAAACTATAATTGCCTCTGCCACATCATTTTCTCTCTGTAATGGGCTTGTTCACATGCAGTTTATGGTGTTATTATTACAAGGATATTTCTATCCTAGAATTAGGATAGCATCGTGTTCTCTTTTTCATGAGAAAATAAGTGACTGGTATTGTTTAAAAGAATTCCCATCCCCTGACATATTTGTAATGGATCCAGAAAGCCCCACATGCTCTTGCTGAAGAAGTGGCAAAAATGTACAATATTTTACATGAGAAAGGGAAAGAATACATTACCAGCAGAAGGCTAGAAAATAGTTTGACGCATGTAGTTCAAAACCAAGAAAATAATCTAATTATCAATCATCAAGCCTGATGAAAGTATTGGGTTTAATTAATTGACTAAGTAATAGTGACTGCAGATTCTCTTTGGGCATTTTGGTGGGTACAGATACCACTGACTTGTGTTTCAAAAGAACATTCGCCTTGAACATAGTGATCAGTTAGAATATGGAATACCTATGAAGTTAATTTGTCTTGGTCTGCTTCTGCTACTCATAATATCTGAAAGTTGTCCAAATATTTGAGGCTTTTTCCCATGAGTTTTGCTTGTAAAGTTAGGAGGGGTAGTATTTTAACTTTCTGAAAATACATCAATAATAGTTTTTTGTTATAGTAAGCCTCAGCTGAAAGAAAATTTAGGAGCACAGATAGCATATCACACTGTTCTTTCACACAGGAATTTTGAGAGGAGGTTCAGTTCTATATGACACTACGAATCAGTAAGATCTTCACAAGCATGACGGCCTATTTCTTCCTCACCTTATTTAACAGTTTTAGTAATGGGAAATATAAGAGGAACCTAATGTTTTAAAACTTCAAGGGTCTTCTATAGGCTACATTTCCCTTCTTCAAAGTAAAAGGCTAGCTACAAACAGCATTATGAGTTAGCTTTCAGTCAGAACCACCATGATCTGAAAGGCTGGATGGTTCAGACATCGGAACCTCTGAGGTCTAAGCGCAAATGGCTGTCTATGTTCTACATTCCTCCTTGGGCCCTGAGGGACAAAATGATATTTTTTATGGACATAAGTCACCTTTCCCTCAGCAGTGCTGAAAATTACCTGCTTTTTTAGTGTTTTTTACTGCACTTTATTAATAATGTTAGAAAAAAGCTACTCCGAATGGCTAATAACTGCAAATACATATCTATGTAGTGTAAATATGTGTAAACCCACGTCCTATGTCACTTTGCAGGCTTCACTATGTAAGTCACATCAGAATTCAGTACAATCATTTTCTGTGAAATATGATAACCATATCAATAACTGTTTTCCCTGGACTCATTTCATTAGCTAGCTTCTGAATAATCCTCAGGACAAAATCACCAATGGATGTTGCAATTAGCTTCAGACCAAGATATTTAGATGTTACTTTTCTGCCTCCTGCTCCCTGTACGTGAGCCACCTTAGTCAGCTAGCTCAGTAGTGCGTGGTGTAGCTGGGAGTGTACCCATCCATGTCATGAAGCAACTGCCTCTTGCTAGAGCAATTAACAACATATGTCTGACTGCATGGAACCCAACTAGAGAAGATTCATCTTTAGAAACTTTATATTCTGGGGGAAAAAAAAAATATTGTATTGACTGTTGATTGGCAACTAGGAGGTTTTAATTGTCTGTTAAATAGAAAACTTTTCCTAGGAAATAACCTTCATATAGCTTTTAAATGTATATGTACTCTAAATCTTTTGGATGTTCTCTTCCTTTCATATTTCATCTTTTTTTCCGAACATGCAGCTAATTTCTTTCTTTGATAAAAGTTATTCCCTTTCATCAATTTCTGTCCATTTTTCATGCATCAGAACTCCTTCATTGTTGAAGCAACTTACTGTTCCATTTTGCTGAATATCATAATAGTTTAAAAAGCCTTGATTTCAAGGTTTTGTGTTTCAGTATAGTCTATGTTTAACCAAAGTGTAAATTTGCAGTATTTTTCTATAAAGAGTTCTTAAAAAATAATAATAATTAAAAGGGGGAATACATCTCCCAAGCAACTTCAAAAAGACTAAACCACCAATTTTATTCCTTAAAGCAGGAAATCACTTTTTTTTATCCTAACATAGAAAAAAATAAGAATAGCTATAGTTATCACGTACATAAACCAGTAAATATGTTTTCTATCTGTTATAAACAAGGCACAATGCCAGGAATTGCTCAAACTCCTGTCCCTAACTATACTACAGATAAAAATTATGAATATGAAATCCTAATGTAGAGTTTGCACGTGAGGTGACTGTTAAATTAAGTCCTTGTAAATATTTTTATAATAAAAGGTGACTAAATAGCATCAGGAGATACAGACCGGGAAAGGTGATAAAATTAAATAAATAAATAAATAAATAAATAAACTCCTGACATTATGAAAGAATGACAGTATTGCAAGGTGAAGTATTAGATATGAGAAATGTCAACACTTCTAAGACGATTCCAGTCTCCCAACAGTGTAAAAAAAAACAAAACCCAATGTTGGCAGGGGAGGAGGAATAAACAAATGCCAGAAATTCTTCCCTGGTTTTAGCCAAGGAATCATTTTAAAATTAAAACAGAGTTGCACAGTCACTTTCAAAATTCTCACCTTAACAGATGTTTCGGGAAGATAATGTGGATTTCTCAGCTTAGTTGTAATATAAAAGCGGAATTCAGGAGCATACTCGATAGTGGAGTCTCCAAGGCAAATGCATATACTTCCTGACTGCTTAAATGTCTGTTTGAGCAAAAGTGGCTCTAGGATAGGATCAAGTTCTTCTCCAATATTCTCCAGTAGCACTTCAAAAGAACACAAGAATTAGCAGGACTTTCTTGGCATTTATATTACCGTTTGACTCTTCTTTACAATACATATGTATAATGTGTGATTACAGTGTGCAAACAATAAAAATATAATCAAGGAATCTCTAGAGATAAGGTTAATGTTTCTTATTCAGCTGATTGGAAAATGAATCAAAGAAATGTACCTTTAATTTCTTTTTCTAATATATTGATTTGCAAAAAAATAACTAAAGTGCTATCACTATTACTGCTGCCAATAGCTTAGAACACCAGTTAAAGGCTACCATTTTTAAAAAGGGAAATAACAACAAATTAAATGCCACATGCCACAGAACTCATTTTGGGTAACTAAGTCTGCTTCAATTTCAACTCACTGTTAAGCATATGAGATTGTCAAAATCAAGAAAGAAATAATGGAGAATAAACAATCCATTTATTTGTTTGTAGTACAGTTAGCCACTGAAAAAGACTGTTTCATTAATTTATTTCTATTTGAGGGTAATAAGACTACTTGCAATGAAGATACTACAAAGAATACAAGCATCATTAATGATCACAGCCTTGCAAACTGGTGTTTATACTCTTGAAAAGCCAAATAAAACCATTACTTTTTAGAAATAAAATTATTGTAACATGAAAACAAAGAAATGGCAAATCTCATAAAGCAATTAAAAGATACAAATTAAACTAAGTATTATAAATATATTGAGCTAAGAAGTATCTTATAACCTGGGGTGAGGACTTCAATTACTATAGTACTAATGTGATTCAAAATGAGAAAAAAATTTCTCTGTTTTCCTTAACTATGAGAACGTTTGATACTCAGTGGAGTTTCATTTTTTAGCTAATTGTGCCCCCTCCAGGTTCTTCTGTAATTTACACTTTCATTAGTCATTAACCTACCAGGACTGCCAAACTGAATGCAATTTTCCAGTGTTGTAACAAATTGAGGGTCGCTGAGTTTGATTACATGCAAACTATTGGCTTTTTCCATGTTCTTTATCCATTTATTTGCTTGACCTTGAGGATCTATCATCAGAGGCCATCTTCTTGCATTACTGAAGGGAAAAATACAAACTTTCAAAATTGAAACATAAGCTCTTCAAAGGTTTACCTCGAAGTACTTCTCAAGGCAATTTGTTCCCTTCTGTCGTTAGAACAAAAGTGCGTCAGTACGAAATCATAGTAGGCACATACTCGGGTATAATCCTTGATGAATTTAACAGGAGATAGATGAATCTTAAAGTTCTTTGTTTACAAAAAAGAATTTTCCTCTTTCAAAGAAAGTACTTAGAATAAGATTTACTTCCTAGAAAGTTTAATTGCATTTAATTTTATAACACTTTCAAAATAAAAAGATCACACTAAGTTTGAAATTTTGAAGTTTTAATACAGTCATATGCATAAGTGAGCATTTTCAAGTAAAAACAGATGGAATTTTCCACTAAAGAGACATTTTAGAGTTAGTATAAAGGGAAATATATAAGCAGATTCAAAGGCATCTACCTTTTAATCCCTAATCCTGAAGCAGCAACGGACACAAAGAACTTCTGGATTTTATTTTTGGCAGACTTAGTAACTACTTAGAGATTTTTTTTACAGTATTCTCTACCACATGTAGTTATATTACCAAGATATCTAAGACTAGTGACACATTTTAATGGTCAACTACAGTTACAGCAATAATCACCTAAATGAGAAACCATCTAAGCAGGCAGAAGTGAGAATTCCAAAATATATATCGTCCTTAGAATTCGGATCAAGGGGCCCAGTCAGATCCCAGTTGATTAGGAGATATAATTTAGTTTACTACTGGAAGGAAAAAAACCCAGCAATACTTTTTTCCAGATCGAGCATAAAAAGAAATCTTTCAGACTACTTCTATGGCCTCTATCATTACCACAAGTTAGTTTACATACAATGACACTGGCAAATTATTTATCATTAATAATTTTTTTTAAATTGAACCCTTCTCTCTTGAAAAATTCTGATTCACAAATAAAACTTGCAATGTAAATGTGTCTGCATCTGTATTCTTATTTTCCTTTAAAATACTAAGATGATACATATGCAATTAATTAAAAGACAATCTCATTTTTGTCTTCAAATATACCTTTTCTTAGAAAAAAAAAGATGTTTTATGAAAGGTTTCCATAAATTATCAACAGAAAGTGATAAGCCTTGAATTAGAAAAAAGTACAGAGCAAGTAGTTGTAGATACACTGTAAGCTCTAGAAGACAATGCTCAAACTTAGTTCAATGTAATCTAAGTTCTTGTAGGCTTATTAGTTTCAAAATTGCTGGCAGGCAAAACTGTGTAACATATTATAAACCTTGATCTTCTTTCAAAAGAGTACTTTTAAAACAGGTAAAGCACAGTTTAAGAGAGAAAAATCCTTTCTATTCTCTGTTACAATCTCTTTTCCACAAACTTCTTATTAAGGACTAAGTGTAGTTGTAAGGCCTATTTATCCTCTTTCATTGATGGGAATGCATAAACAGTCACTGTGTATGTTTGCAAATTATCCTTAAATAGCTCTCTAATTCTGCTTTTTTTAAAAAAATGTTATTATGAAAAGCTTGAGTTGCATTTTATATGGTTCCTGAGGTCCTAATATAAAATTCATCTAGCCATCAAATCATAACTACAGGCATAGTATGTATCATCAATTTGAGGTAGATTCTATCTCGCATTTCAAAATTAAAAGCTATCATTATTTAGTTTTAAAATGTTAATCATCTTCCCATTAGTTCAAAGAGAATTTTGATCAAAGCTTTATAGAAGTGAAGTGTTAGGATGTACTGTAGAAGTCTTGAATTCATTAACATTTGTCAACTGTTTAGTCTGAGTGATTGAATTATTAATACAATAATTACTTAAAAAAACCCAGTTACATATACAATCATAATCCCAGCATATATCCCCTAATTTCAATAAGTAGTTTTGCTTCCAGAAGTACAATCAATGCCAATTTGTCAAGTCAAATAGAGGTACATTGAGGTTCTTTACCTAGTGCATTATTTTTATCTTATTTGTTTAATTTTGCACTTTGTCACCTATCCAGTTGCCAAAGCTGAAGTATTATCCACACATCTATGCTTCCAGAGGTTAACCCTATAATATACAATTTCAGTTATGTGTGAAAACGTAACATTCACTCTACAGTAAAATAAGTATTCATTCACCAGTGCTATACAACATCAGACTCCTCAAACAGTGAGAAGAATTTTCATGTAAACAGTAGCAAAAATTAAAGATTTATATTAGTAAGTTTCTGCAGTAGCATACTGTAAGAAAGATGCATAAATGTTAGGTACATGTTATCATAGACTTGACAACCATTAACCTGGCTATGGAGAAGAATTATAAGAATTATTTATTCATTATACAGAAAAGACAACCAACAGACATGAAGTAAATGGGTAGCAATCACAGACAGAAAAGCAGTTAAAGCAACATTGTTCCACCATCAACTCAGCTTCTGCTGTGCTAGGAATAAAAAGCTAGGAATAAAAGCTAAAAGTCAGTAGCAATGCATTAGCAAGCATACTGGACAGAACTGAGAGGTTCTTTGTTTACAGTCATAACAAACCCAAGTCCAAATGAAAATCGTAACTACTTATGCAAGGTCACAAAGTTTAGCCTATTGTAAGCACCCAGCTCTGTATTTAACAAAACTGTCAAAGTGCTGTACATATCTCAGTCATCAGTAGGCACATTAATCTAAAGCTAATCAGTAGTGAGCTGTAGATATTTCTAGATGTTAAAACACTAACATGGTCAGTTCCTGTGCTATATGTTGTCATACAAATCACTGATGTTTGCACTGATTGTCACATTAATATATACCACATGAACTCTGCCCAGACAAACGTAATTCTAGACACAGATATGCATGTATTAGAATACCACGTAAGAATGTAGAATCATCTTAAAAGTGAAAGGCAATAATATTAGTTTTAGAGTTTGTGGGATCCATATTTTCTTTCTATGAGGAATTTTGAGATTTCAGAATTTGTTTCACTTTTCAAATAAGAATGAGAATATCTTTAAATATGCAGAATTTTCAAAAATAATTTTGAACAAATAATGTATCATTAAAGTCAAAGTATTTTATTTGGATGTAGCTTAAGATAATTACAAAAGGGATACTTTTTTTAAAAAAAAAGGGGATTTCAAAATGAAAAATAAATCCTTCTTTCCTCATCAGAACTTTCTTCAACTTGTGATAAGACTATTGTCATACTAACCACAATACAACAGGAAGCTACAATTGCAACTGCCAAGCTTTTAACTATGAATAGTATTTAGTAAATTCCAGCACTCCAAAGATGTAATCAAGTCTCTGCTATGAATTCAAATTTTAATAATTTTTTTTTTTTTTTTTAAGTTCTTTGAGGACTGGACTGGGTACAAGGAAGACTTTGTGGTGCCCCATTCATAATGCCTACTAAAGAGGTCTCTACACCAACCCAAAAACCAAAGCGCGCTCAGCTTTTGTCTAGGGATATGCCAGGTTGTTTTGCTCCAGAAGGGATCCTAGGGATGACTAGTCTGTATGAAGTATTGACTGTTAGGGGAATGAGGCCCTAAAGAAAACAGACTCCAAATTGTCAGTACACATACACCTTTTCACCTTTCATCCAATATCTAAAACTGTCACATGGATGAGGAAGACCCATATCTAACTCCCAACTGCCTGACGTGATGTGGAAGTACACCTTTCTGAAATCAGAGGTTATTGCAGGAAAGGCCTATCTCACCTTTTCTTTTCGAAGCTGTTTAGCAGTACATAGAATAAAAGGCAAGAAATAGAGGAAGAAACTGGCAAGAGCCGGTTGGGATCATCCTCTGTAAGAAAGGAGACTAGAAATTCTCTCCACTCTAACTTTTTGCACCTCCCTTACTACCTTTAGTAGAAGATGTACATGGGCTGGTTTTTTTGTTTTGTTTTGTTACTGTGCCCTAGCAAAATAAAGATTCAGCTCATCAGTGTACAAACCAACACTTCCAAAATATCAGGGCTTTACATACTAAATATGTAACAAGCCTGGATGTTAAAATCTCCTACCAGTTGGCAATATAAACTGGGAAACTGTTTATAGACAAGTAATCAAGACATTATCTATAGTATTTCCAGTGCCATCTTAGGGAAAAACTGTGTGAGCCTCATAGAAAGATTAGCAGTGTAGCTCTGCAGAAACACATCTTGGTAGCACCTGATGCCAGCATATTTCTTTAAAATTAAAGAGCTTTAGCTTTTTAAAGGAGAATTACTTCCATATCTACTGATCATACTGCTACAAGAATAGTATTGAAAATTCTATTCCTGAAGCATTTTTGGATACCTTAAACTGAATCCAGTGTGCAGCATGTCTGTAAAAAAAAAAAGGGGGGGGGGGGGGGGGGAGGGGGGAGGCTATCATTGTAGCAATCCATAGGAGTTAAAAAGGAGGGGACTGAATTCACAGATTTAAAAACTTTACATTATAAAGTTAAAAGGTATTATTAGCATTTCTTATAAATTTAAATATTACAGTCATTTTATAACTCTGGTTGTTAAACTGGATATACAGGAGAAAACTGTCTATAAAAATAATAAATGAAAAGCATGTTGAAGGAAGCTATTTAATGACAATTATTCATTGTAATTTTTTTTTACTTACGAGATAATGATGCCATTATCAATAGAAAACATGTCAGAAGGTAGTCCAGCAATATTCCAAGCTCTGATTTCCACTGGTTCTCCCAGGGTATTTGTTAAGGAAAAATTATCAGAACAAGGAATGTCCTTTGTTTTACATAGCAATGTCCACTCTTTAGTTTGCATCTAGATAAGAAGAAAACAAATATTAACTAAAATTCTGTCTATTCACAAAATTTTCAAACTATTAAAAAATGTATTTTTCAACCCATTTCCCATAACAGTTGCTATGGAAAGAAACTCATGCCTCTGTATAAAAATGTCTAAAAGTGTCTCTAAAATGCCTTTGTATGTGATTTCTATATATGAAATATAAGTTTATTTGGTCAGAGCTTTGGTATGATTTTATTCACCATTTCAGCAGTAGTCTTCTATAGTATAAAATGAATGTAGAATACACACACATATTCTAACTAAAAAAACCCAAAATCTTCCTTATTTAACTATCAGGACACACATAATGAGCACTTGTCAGGACTTAACCAAACATAGAGTTGCTTTTCACTATTCTCTGTATCATCTAACTCACTACAGTTGTGTAAACTATACATTTGTATAGCGCATAATAATAATGAAGACACACACCTTTAAAGAGGTAAACAAAAAAGCATATTCCACTAGGAAAAATGCTTCTAAAGAAGGAAAATATATAGAAATAGCATGTTCATATGAAAGGCACAATCTTATATGAAAGCTATGTATAAGGTCAAATAAGTATCTTGCAGTATTCTAAACTAAAAATTAGCTGGAAAAGCCTCAAGCAACAAAACTCAGAATTGCGGTGTTAAAGGAAATGGTCTAAGTGCTAGAGAAATTCAGAGACGTGGTGAATGAATGATTTATCAATTTGCATAAAACAAAGTTGATATTCCAAAAGCTATCATAACTTTTTCTCTTATGAAAACTGGAAGGGGGGGGGGGGGGAAGATGAAATGAAGAACTGCACAAAAGTGATTATGCTATCCATCAATCTCTGTAAGAGATACCTAACTAATATGTGTCTGCACAATCATGAGAGTAGAAGAATAAATAACCAGGAATCCATACCTACTGTTGCACAGAGAAAGAAACTATGCAGTGAGAGAGAATGAAATTACACAAAACTTTTGAGATTAAACCACTATGTATTCATTTTTAGTGAATAATCATGCAGGTGTTATGAATATCATCTGCATCTGTATCTACACCTGCCTGGAATACAGTTCAGCACCACTTAAGATGCTTCACCAAAAGCAGTCCTACCTACCCAGTCACGACATAATACACAATGCAGATTTTAAGCACAGAAGAGAACACTCTCTCAAAATTATGTCATTTGGAATTGTAAAAACTGCTGTTTATTTACAGTATAAATACTCACACCATAAACTCTCACTCTATAAAGTTTTAAAATAGTAACATCACAACATGGACATGAACAAAACAATAGTTTGAAAGAACAGTACAAAATTTTCTAAAGAAAAATGGACAAAGGAAGTACATTGAAGGAAAAGTGGAAATAAGGATTATATCCTAATTCTATGTTCAAATGAGGTATATTGATCTTTTTTTTTTCCCTGCTCTCAATTTTTTTGCAAATTTTGATACCCTGGACCTGATTTTCAAAAGAAATGGACATTAATTTCTTCAGCTGAATTCAGCGGCAGGTTTTGGTGTTCAAAAACTTTCAAAGTCAGGCTAATTTTGACATCCAAAAATTGTTGTATCTAAAATCACCTGTCATGTCAAAATCATTTTGTACTCAGAATTTCCGTTTATTTCACTAAGAGTTACAGGCACAAATCTGCTATGTTATTGAGCTACTGTTTCTTTTGTCTCTTTTTGTACAGAATTACTCCGCTTCCAGAACTTGCTTAACTGTTCTGCTGCTGAAATTAAAGCTAATTCTGTTTTCTTTGAAGTTAATGAGAATTTAGCCATTGAATGGAATGGGAGTAACCAGAGCCATGAGGTATAAAGTTACTGGCAATTGCTTTAGAAAAGAAAAGCAACCAAAGGACTTCATGCTTTACACAGCACCAAGTACTTTACAGTGGAATGAAGGAAGAATTTCCCCCAAGAATCTTACAAACAAAACTCAAAATCCTACAATACAATTTCAGTTCCACTTACAAATGCTACTAAAACATAACTTAAAAATATAAACTTTATATTACAAGAAAAATTAATAAAATTTAGATTATTATAAAACAAGGGGACAAAATTACTGTACATATTACTTGTCTGTAGCTGGATGTAAAGGCTCCTAGGTAAGCTACAATTCCTGATGAAATAAGTATATCTCCAGTCAAATTGATGTACTGCCTTCCCAGCTCCAAAGCAGTCTCATGCCACCGGGTTTTCTCACCCCCAAGGCCACCAATCAATTGTTCTGCTCGCTGTAGTTTTTTGCTGCATAAGTCAACCTCAGAATAAAAAAAAAGGCTGATTTTATTACATGACCACTTTAAATACATTTTACAAATATTAAAAGCATTCAAGAATTATTTTCCTGTGCAGATGTTTTCTTAATTTCATCAAATAGAAAGAAAACACCTTCTTCTTATAATGGAGATGTTTAAAGAACAAAAACAATCTCAGTACCAGCACATTAAAGTCTATTCAGTTACATTTTAATCCAAATAAAGGAAGACGACCAGTATAAAACATGCAATTCAAAATAGCTCTACCTGTGATATGGAAAATATTAATAGTCAAGGAAATTATCTACATGTCATAAGAGAAACCAAAATGCCAACTCTTGCTGCTGTAACAATCCTCTCTCTCTTCTGGTAACCATAGCAGCTAATTTACATCACAGTAACAAACTGCTTGTGTAGTTTACCCCTCCCTTCTACTTCCAAACCACATTAGGATGCGGAAGAAACACACAAAGAGCTGAGTTTAACTACAGACAGGAATTAAGACTCCATTTCAAATTCCAATACTATTTTTGTAAAAAAAGCTCAAGATGATGTACTGCAAATCTTAAAAAGAATCTAATACTGTCTTCTAAATGTTGCCTATTTCTGCACACGTAACAGCTATTGAGCAGTCACGGACAGAGTTTACCAAAAACATTCTCAAAATTTCATTAGCACAGAAGGCATAAATAAACTTTCAAAACTTTAAATGTACTGACTTGCAAGTTAACGGATGAATCAAACTTTTAGTACGATCATTGAAAATTTATCTCCTCACAAGAAAGCAGATATGAGTGAGGACATAGGAGAGGGATATCAGTTCATAAATTCATAACATTTACATTTTCTATTACTCTAAAGCATTTATTTCCCATGCTTTGCCCATGTATAACTTCAAGACCATTACACCAAACTAGAAAGATGGTTATCTAAAAGTACAACTCGTTTGACGTATTGGCAGTTAAAAGGAAAAATACCATCTGACAAAGAAACAAATTTTAAATAACTTTTCTGGATATCAGTAGAACAATACTTCATCTTTTGCATCATATACCTGATTTTCTAAGTCAGCCTTCTCCTGTTTCTTGGATTCCAGTGTCTGTTGGAGTACAGCCAATTTATCTTGAACTTCCCTCAGGTCTGCTTGTTTCTTTCTTAGACCATCCATAGCAATCTTTAATTTTCCTTCAGCTTGATTCAACTTTAGCTTTTTGGGTGCAACATTTTTTGTCACTCTATATAAAGTCAAATAAAAAATTAAACATCTGAAAGATACACCCTCACTCCAGGGTTACCATTTAAAAAATGAACATAGGAAAGATGAAGGGAAACCTCAGCAACTCAGTAGCTCATGTAATATTCTGTTTCATAATTTGATGATATCTGAAAGACAATTGGTTTTTACTTCGTCACTTGTTTCTGTGCCAATAATGACTGATTTATGCAGTTTCTGCAAATTTTTATGTAATAACAGGTAATGATTAAAAGCAAAAAGGGATATGCTTCCAAACTGTGTCCCCCTTTTGATCACAATTTAAAATCCATTATGGATTTGTGCCATTAGAAACACACAGATAATCACATAGACTAAGTAACACTCAGAGACACTGTGCACACACATACAGCCAACTGTGTACACTAAATAAAAGAAAAAATTAACAGCTTTTCATGTCCAAGGATCTATTTTACAGTTTTGAGGATTTCAGTCTTTTACACAGATACTTTTGTGAGGAGAATATTGGAAGTAATGCATAACTGAAAACACATTGTTTATCTTTCCAAAAACAAGCAAGAAAGTATCCTAGAATGCCCCGTGCTCAACTGAAACAGTATTTCACAAGTATTAGCATCATAATTAATTAATCTCCCCTCCTATTGGTGTAAGTTGCAGATCTCCTTTAAAGTCCACCTTTCTAGTTAATTTTCTAACAATTGGTATTTGTAATGTCAAAAGTTCTCAGGTTCTCAAAGTGAGAACTCTACAAGTATGCATTTACTAAACTTTTAGTCAGGTAAAAAAAATAACCTCTCAAATGAAGGCATGCACTACTGACCACAACTCAACTTTCAAACTGCAAGCCGACCTTAGTTAAATGCAAGTTCCAGATGTTTCAAATTAGGAAATATCATAAAAAATAAGCACACTTTTTCGGTGCATCAAATACAATGTGTAACAAAAAATATCCTTTGGGCTTGATATGACTGTCAGAAACTTCCAAAGACATTTCACAAAAGCCTCTATTTTGTGCAACACTCTAAAAAGAGGTTAACTTTATTTGCTAACTGAACATATTGTTTCTCCCATGCCTTCTTAGAAAAAATTCATAACTGAAAATCAGGCTCTACATCTTAACATCAGGTATCTTACATGAATGAATCTGTATGACTGCTTGTTTGCACAAGTTTCCCACTAGAAAGAAGTAATTTCACATCTCTCTTGTGTTAAACTGATCTCTCTAATCAAATTTATTTTAACATTTTTTTAATTTTTATACATACTTACGTATCATAAAACTCCATGGCTATGACCCATTTGCAGAGACCCTCTGCTGCCGTGGAAGCATTTCGAATCTTGTCTGGTACAAACTCAGGATTTGTAAGATACTGTTTTCTTATGATAGCCATGTAAGCTGGGGGAATGTTATCCTTGTCATATTCATGAAGAGACTGAAGAAATCTTATGTCACCCAGAAGTCTCTTAGCAGGACCCCAGAAATCCTCAATTTTTTTTCCAGAACCTGTTGGATCTGGAATCCTATCTGCTTTGATGCCTTTAAGGATGCATATAGCTTCCATTACAAGCTTGACACCAGCAGGAGGACTCTTCATGGACTTAACCACTGTAATATCCTTAAAATAATAATTTAAAAAACACCTTTAGAGCTCATGCACATAGGTGGATTAATTCTTCTATTAAAATAGAAATAATAACCCTTTTTATGTCAAGATAATATTTTTCCATATACATTTGCTATTCTCACACTTGATAATTTTAAATACAGTATGATCTCAAGGTCATAGCACAAGCCTGCATAGTCCATGCATATATACCTCATTTTCTTTTTGCAAAACCTTATTTCAATTTTTTCCATTCTTTCTAGTCCTTTCTTTAAGGGACTATGCAGGTTAAACTAACACTGGCATCTAAACAAAAATATCTGAAATCTAGTCAACAATCAGTTTAGAGACACAAAAAAATTCTTATCTGTAATTCATTTTTAGTTGTACTTTTTCTGCTCCTAATTCAGTAGTGGGCCTTGCACCTCAGTTATGGAGTTCAGATGTTCCAGCATTATGCTCTACCCTTCAGTTCAGGCTCTAACACAATACTTCCAAGCTTACAGGATCACATCAGCAGTGAATTAGTAGATTTAAGATAACATAAGGCAAAAGCAGCCTTCAACCCAGAACTGAAGATCTATGCTCTCCAAGTACAGAAAGTAAATCAATTAGTAGTCTGGTCAGTTATTAAACTCCCAGAGTGAGCTGAATAAGAGAAGAGGCAGCTAAAAGGAAGAAAACTGTTAGGTAAGAAGTACTGACATTATAAGGAATAGCAGGACATGAATAAGCGAAGTTTTAACTGCCAATATAGAATAATAATATAAAAGAATGAAACACTTCTACACATATATGTACAATTAATTAAGCAAGAGGTTTGTAAACTAAAGATTTATGGAAAATAATCTCTCCTACTCTTCCCAAAGAACAACCTCTGCATGCTAATTCAAATATTCTTTCCAAGAGCTTTTCTCAGAGAATATATACTCCAATAAATTAAAAGATTTCTAGATTCTCATATTTATTTTCCTAATTAGTGTTAGATTTTGAGAGCTTGCCCATGGTTTCTTTGAGGTCTAAAACCCTGGCAGTTTGGATAGATAGAGGTATCTTTTGAGTTCTGTGAATGTTCATTCGTGCCACGAAAACCAGAAATGTTAAGACTGGATAAAAAAAAAAAAAAAAAAAAAAAAAGATTATTATTTCCTTGAAACTGTGAATTACAGTTCCTGGAGCTACAAGCTTTTTTTTAAAAAAACAAAATCAAAAAAAACCCCACCACCCAAAAACTGCAACCACACAAGTGTTCATGGGAGGGAAAGAAGAGCAGGTAAATAAAGCCAGGGAATTTCAATGAGGCAGGCAGAAAACTGGCTGATGGGATCTCCAGGAAAGGAAATTCTTGGAGAGGAAGAAAATCAAAGTTAGCCAGCCATTCCAGGGAACAAAATTAAGGAGAAATACAAATTAACTTAATACAACCAAGGGTTGTAAGCAGAGTAGGAGGCTATTTGAAAGGCTAACCTCAAACTCAGCTGCAATTAAAAGCAATATGAAGTGTAACAAGACAAATTCTATAACTACAGTAGTAGTAAGAAAAGCAAGAAAAGTGCTGGCTAGGTACTTAGTGAAAAGGGCGAGATATGAGTCAATGATATACAGAGTCAAAATGTTAATGCTCTTTGCATCTGATGTCTCTGAAAGGTTATCTGTGAGTAGGTGACAAGCACAATTGATAACACTGTCAAAACACAGGAAAGATTTGACCAAGTTTGTACATGTCTCGATCTATGCAATATTTTCATTACTGAAATGAATGATGGAAAACAGAGAGAGTTTATTGAATTTCCAACTGATAGAAAGTTGAGAGTAAATGCAAATACACTGGAGCAGAGAACAGGAAAAAATTATCTTGATAAATTGCAGAAATAGAAAAGTACAGTAGAACTACTACAAAAAGAAAAAAAAGGAAAGAGAAAGCAATGATTATGTAACAGTGATTTTCAGGAACTGATAGAGCTGTTAGCATGAATGACAAACTACATGTGTCAATAATAATCCTCTACTCTACAGAGCATTCAGCAAAACTAAAGCTGAAATCCTGTATTCAAGTTTGGGCAATGCACGTGAAGTGAATGTATGGAGAAGGTCCAGAAAGAATAACCAGGAAAGCTGATTTGATTTGTGAGAAAAGACTAAAAGAATAGCGATTACTTAGCTTACAGAAAAGAAAACTGGAAGTGGTGAGATCAATGAGTAGAGTCTTTAACTGCATAAAAGATAAAGAACTATGTCCACAGGGAGCAGGACAGAAAACAAAGTTAAGTTACAATGAGTAAGATTAACAGTAAACACCAGGAAAATAAAGTGGAACAGATTACAAGTGGAAGAAGACGACTTCCAGAGGTCCTTTCTGAGTTCTAAATTTCAGTGTCTTCATATGTGTATTGCCACAAAACTTACGTTTTAACAGCAAAATAACACTTAAAATTGTTATATTTTCTAATCCGTGCTGAACAATGAGCCACGAGGTACATGGTTCCTTTTAACTGTAGATACTCATTTCAGCAGTACTGAATTATGTATAGGTCTGTTTCTCCAAACAAAGCACTTAATCTGCACATTTATGTACATGGATTTATGGGCACAATTTGCAATGTGTCCTGCTCTGCTTTCTACCAGTGGTGACCAGGGTGAAGGGTGAATCAAAAACAAGAGTCCTGTACAGGTACTCTAAGCAATCCTATACATAGATTTTTTTGTGTGTGTGTGTTCATCATGCTATTTAACTATATTTTGAGGGAAAAAACTCTGTCTTTTTTTTTTCTTTGGAAGTTCCTACTCTATTTTTTTTCCTCTTGTATTACAATATTCCCTGCTTGGATACACTAAGCATTGACAGCAGCTGAAGTATTACTTCATTAGCCTTCAAAGCCTTGTTGTTGTCTTGTTATTTACAAGTATAATGCAATTACCTTGAAGTAGCCATCTACTATTTTCACAAAGCATGCCAATGACCTGAAAATGCCAGAATCTAAAACTTCTGGTACCAAGCAAGAGCTGTAGATAACAAACCATCTGTCTATCTAAGATTTCCTTGAAAGTTTTTTAAAAGCTTGGTTTTGGCAACAATAGCTGGAGCACATAGTCCATGTGCTCTTACTCTCTTATAATCTGTGAGACTTCCTTTCATCCCACCATGAGCAAAACATTATTCAGGCAAAGAAAACCTGAATATCCATAAAACCAAAGGTGACTGCCTCCACTGTCATACTCCTACAAAGAGTGATCCCTTAACATGGGGAGACACAGAATTCCAACCTCAATTTCTAGACTCTGAAAGACTGGATATAAAAAGATTAGATGGCAGGCTGGCAGGTTCTGAATAAGAAAGTAAAAAGCATACATTTTCTAACTTCTCAATTGTTGAGTCAAAATATTTTTATAACTACGAATTCTGAAATGTCTTGAATAATATTTGATCTTCTATTCCATAAATATTCAGCGTTACAGCTTTTTCACTAGAAAATAAAGACAGAGTAGCATTTTGCTTTTTAAAACTGAAAGACTTGAAGAAGTTTCTGAATTATAAAACTGTGTAAGTATAATGTAAATTCTGAAAAGGCAGATATTCCATGCTTTTGTATATCTGAATACCTCTCCAGTGCGTAAATATGCATTATTAGCTGTACCTGTGCAGTGAGAGTGTCAAGGGCAGCCAGAGCACTTTCTAAACAAGGCATGGCTTGTGCTAGGTCAGCGTCACATTCATCTTTGATGGCCTTTGCAGCCATAGCCTGCTCATTTGCCACTGCTTCATCAGCTTTCACGACTTCTTCAGTTTTGGCTACTTCCAAAGATTCTTTTTGAATAATGACCATCATTTCATCAACCTGCTTGCTAGCTTCCCGTAACTGAGGTTGCAGAGCCTCCAGCTCAGACTGCATCAAGGCTACTTGAGATGCAGCAGAGTTCAGCTTCTCCAAGCCAACTTCATATCTTCTTTTCATTTTCATCACCTTACTGAAAAAAAACGGTACTTTATTATAAAGTTATTTTATCAGTACTTGATCACTTCATGCATTGGGATGTGCTCCCCAAATTTCTCACTACTCTTGAGTAATCAAATGCTCTGCCCATCTTGTTTTATTTGCTCAACAAATAGTAAACATAGCAGGGATTACTTGAGCCATAGTCTTTAACTATTCTGTGATGTATACTCAGAGACTGGGAAATAGATAAATAAGTGATCACTTATATGTATGTAAGTGATTGTTAAGCTTCTGCCTCTTTGTTGGCAGGAGCTACAAAATCAAGATGGCACAGTAGTAACAGGCAAGAAAAGGAGAGGGAAGAGATAGGGATGCACTCATGACAACTATTAGTTGAGGTGAGATTGAAATAGGATTAATATAATCGGGATAATAATTTTAGCAGCAGAATGTGAATGGCTCTGGGAACAGCCAACAGTGTCAGAATCAAGCAGTTCCAAAGGCATTGGATTGCTACATTCAAAACTGTATTCCTTTATTCCTGGAATTTCTTGCTGCATGCAGTGTTTCACATAGCCTGGTGATCAAATTAAGCACTTGTCTTAATTGTTATGTTAGTGTCTTATCAATGAGAAGGAAAGAAAATTGAACATTCCCTCACACAACAGATGTGTACATGCATACAGATGTCCTTTCTGTACAGGCACAGCACAGCTGAACCCTGCTAGCAAGCCAATGGCACCTAGCAACCTGGAAGTTGGTTTCCCAGATGTTATCTTCTGTACATCCTCCAGAGAACCACAGAGTAAGCAGGCTGCATTAATTACTCTGGTAGCATAATATACATAGAGCAACATCACCAGGGATCTTAGAAGTGGTCTAATGCAAGTATATTTTGAGAACATCAAGTCAGACCTTTTGTCCAATAAGCAAGCATGCAACCTAACAGTACCTTTTATCCATCTACCATTCTGTCAATTTAAATTAACTGAAAACAATTAACTTGTTTTGTTCAGATTAGCTATAAGAGAGAGAAAATAATACTTTGGGTGAACTTGGGTTCCTCTAGAAAAGGCCACATTATAAGTCCTTACGTGCGTTTCTTTTCAAGTAGACTTTTAAAAGTGGAGATCAATTCCAAGTATGAAGTCGGTGTAACATAGTTGTGTCTTTGAAGCTCTGCATGGTATAAGTTGGATAAAACAATCGTAGACATATGAAAGCTTTTACACATATCAATACACCCACTTCGAGTTTCTTCCGACATTTCAACATCTTCCAAGAAGTGAGAGGCAACAGCTTCTAATGCATCTTCAGGCCATGTCTAAAACAAATGAATGAATGCTTTTCTCTCATTCAGTACTTCACACTCATAAATCTCAAAACATTTTTCAAAAAAGTATCTTTGCCCCATTTCATAAAAAGACTGAGGTACAGAAAAATGACTTCATGATGAAAAGATCACCAAGCAGGACAATAACAGAAATGGAAAGAACCTAACTACTTAGGGATTCAGTTCAAGCCCATTGTCTTATTTCATCCAGTAGAAATACTGTTACTAAAAGGACAATTTTGCATTTTCAGCATGTCCATATGTGTGTGTAACTGTCTCTCTTCTTTCTCTTCAAAATAACTGTTAAAGATACAGTACTACATTTTAAAACTTTATGAAATTTAAGTTCCTCAGATTCTTTATATGATTAAATTCTACATCTTAAATATTCTGCCTAAGGTCTTTTGCACATAACAGATAGAATATTGTTTTATTGCAGAGTAGTGGGGGAAAATCTGGTGTTCTGCATCAAAAGATGTCTGTATTTTTGACAGGTATTTCAGTTTCAAATTTTTTTTGTCACCCTGGATTCTGGTAGTCCTGGTAATAGAAGAAAACACTACATATTTAAATCCGTAATGTCTACAGTACTATGTTCATTCAGTTATACTTTTATACTACAGTCAGACAATTATTTTCTTGATGATTTTGCATTTTGTTAGTCAGAGCAGTTCTAATGGTCTAAACAATTTAAAACATGACACTAAGAAAATTCAAGATATTTTTACTGCTAACTTGACGAAAGAGAATTACTTGCTACAAAAAGGGTTGAAGCCATGTTTCTATTGCATTTCCATTAGAAGAACAAGCCCAACAAAAGTTTTTTTACCTGAAACCAGTCTAGTGTGCAGCAGTTGACAAGAGCTGGAAATTTACGAAGGCGATTACGGAAAGCATCTCCAATGGGACTCATTGCCAGTACTATATGAAGCTGATCTCGACAGCGATCAACAAACATGTTAAAAAGAGCTATAGGACTGCCATCTGTCTGTTTTGTCCTGTCCCGTTGGCGATCTACTTGACGCATTTGTTCACAAATTTCTTGTTTCTCGTCTACTGCAAAGATGTTTGGCACTTCACCTGCATTTAGTAAGTTGTTAATGTCTTCTAAGAATGACTCCTTTTTAATCTGTGTATCTGTGAACAAGAAAACTCCCTGCGTTTCTCCTTCAGTAGATTTTCTTAGTATGACTTTTAAGTCTTTATGCCACTCATTGATACCATAACTTTTAGTTATTTCAACCTGAAAAAGGTTGTATTCAGCCATATGGGCTGCTAATCGAGTAAGAGATTGTCGACCACTACCTCCAACACCAACAAGGAGGGCATGGCTGCGAGGCTGTTTCAGAATACGGGAAATTCTACAAATATGTTCTATAGCAAATCGGAACAAGACAAGCTGCATTGGCTTTTTGCTCATGTTATTGAACTCGTCAAGGTGACTCTCTACAACTAATCTCAATTGATCCGTATCACTAATCTCCCTGTATTTAGTGTCCTCTCTCTTAGGGTCATAAAAATCACAAAACATTAAGCTACGTAAGTCATCTTCTTCCACTCTGCCATCATTGTTGAAGTCCAGATTCTGGAAAAGCTCATGAAAGTCTTCATGTAAGTCATTTTTCACTACTTCTTGGATAAATCCAACAAGCCAAGCGCGGTCAGTATTATCCACCAAGCGATCATAATACACTCTAAGAACCTGTATAATAAAAATGTAATTCTTTTAATAGTTGCTTCTGCTCTTGAATTTATACTTCTTTTAAACAAGATAAAACAAATACAATTCTGAAAAAGGCTTTGAAATATAAACTATCTTAAACTTCACTACATAGAAAAAACAACCAAAATAGATATTTAGAATTAATTTGAACAGTTGAGCCCAGTAATATTACTTCTGAATTAAAGTGAAAATTCATACAGAAATACATATATACACACACACACATACTTATACATATTTATAAACGTTATTACATAAATGCATAAAAGGCTGCTGCAAAGAGGAAGGAAACATATTGGTCTTTCCACTACAGCTAGATAGGACAAGTTATGGGTTTGTATTTCAAGAAAGAAGACTGCAGCTGGATATTAGAAAATGTTTTTAATGAAAAAGATAGTGAAGAACATGAACAGATTGCCTGGAAATCTGAAAATCCTTCATCCTTAGAGAACTGTAAGAAATTTTTAGAAAAAAACACTTCAAAAGTTACTGTCGTTCCTTTCTTTATGCAATCCTGCTTTGGGGAAGGATGATGGACTAGATGATCACCAAAGATCTCTTCCATGGTCACTTTATACTGATTTGATTCTATGAACTGTAGCTAAATATTTAAAAAGCAATAATTATCAATGATCTTGCTTTCTTTTAATCCAGGAAGAAAAATAAAGAGTAGGTATCACCTATATGGGGCTTTTTCCTCTTGTTTTTAAAAAGGATGTTTCACTTAAGCTCTTTCAGTGTGTCTATCCTATTATGCCTGAAAGACAGGAAGCATTTGCTGAAGACAGTAAGCTTAAGAATTTCTTCTAAAGGAAGCCCAGAAGTAAAAAAAAAACAAATAGTAGGGACCAAACTTTAAATCACTCAAGATTTCCAGTGACCCAGGACTACTTGCTGTTCTTCTCACTGTTGATTTGGTTTTTTTGGAGGAAGGAGAGAAGAAATGGAAAGGACTGTGCAGGCATTCAAAGCAGCAAACAGAGACTACATAATCACATGAAAGTGAAGGTATCAACATCAACTTGTCTATTAAGACGTGATTCATATTTTGAAAGTCTGATTTCCTCTGTCCATACAGTATACAAAATCCTTTCTCATGAGTGCAATACCAATTCACAGCTATTAGCCAATAGGAGATGGCATTACAAAAAGATTAACACACAAATCCACACCTTTCTCTTATTTATAATAAATACAATTTCTTAATATTAGACGATTTACCTCATGAACCCAAAGACGTTTTATCACTCCTGCAGATTCTGCTGTTTCAGGCCTTGACAGGCAAACACCTTGAATAACACGTGAAAAGTCACGGAGATTGAACAAATAGTGAGATTTGGCTGGGGTAGGAAGCAGATTCTTCATAGCTTCTTTATACATATGCATGGTTCCATTAATAATTTGTGGAGTCAGTTCTACATACTGTGATGGAAAGCTATAACTGACAAATTATAAAAGGTGGTAAGAACAGAATGATTCTCATAATTCCATCATACTAGCATGTGTATTAATAAATAATATTGTATGTGTACACTGATTTACTTAAATTCATGCCAATTTTTAAATTCTGTGATTATACTTCCTCACAGGCAGTTTTACAAATCTTAGTTCTCTCACTGGATTAACAGATTAACCCGGCAAATCAAATCTAGTAACTGTGGAACATGCTGACAAATCTGGCTATGTTAGACAGCTAATTATACCCTTTTCCCCCCTGACTAACAACAGCAACAGGGAAGTCAGATCTAATAGCCCTTGCTGTCTTCTGGGACCTCTCTCCCTCAACGGGTCAGAAGCTATCAAATCACAAACTTGGTCTGGAAACAGGATATGAGCAACTTTTGGGGCTTAGCTGTCAGAATGGACAGACAATGAAAATTGAAGTCCATTCCTAATAATAGAATTAAAAATTATGCAGTGGTGAAAGGCCAAAGACAGAGTAAGCCTTTCCAAACCACAGGAAATTTAAGAGCAGTTTCCAGTTCTATTCTTTGAATAATGACTAACCAAATTCTGTTCTTATTTATTACACATCAAAGAATACTGTACTACAGAAATATCTCAAGTAACTGAATTAGCCTCAGCTAACCTCTGTTAGAGACTTCAGAACAAGAAGTTTACCATTGGAGTATTTTAAGATGAGCCCTACTTCTGTGGAGTAATGAATAACTCAAAAGGCACAGGATATAAAAGATTATCATTTCCTTTCAAGAGCAGTGTCCTACAGACATATCTTGCAGACTTCCTAGTACCCTAATTTAAACACTGACTTTGATTTTTCCCAATACATAGACGTCACTTACCATACTGTTAGATGCCAGTCTAAGATTCTAGAAAAAATTGTGTACATGGATTCATCATCGAACTCATTAATAGTAACCGTATTGAAGTGTCTCAAGAATCGTGGTGTTACTGGGTTTCGACCACCGCCTGAATATTAGAAAGCATTAATACTATAACTAGCAGAAAAAATTTAAATAAAACAGTAAAAGCCTAGCAATTTTTTTCCAGGCTAAACAACCCCAGTTCCCCCAGCCGCTCCTCATAAGACCTGTGCTCCAGACCCTTCACCAGCTTCGTTGCCCTTCTCTGGACACGGTCCAGCACCTCAATGTCTTTCTTGTATTGAGGGTCCCAAAACTGGACACAGTATTCCAGGTGCGGCCTCACCAGTGCCGAGTACAGGGGGACAATCATGTCCCTGCTCCTGCTGGCCACACTATTCCTGATACAATAGCTTTAAATAGCTTTATATTTGCTTCAATAGCACTATATACACATACAGATTCCAGATTTTCATTTCTTATTAGGAGAAAAAAAATAAACACAGGCTGGAAAGGAGAATATAATTTTGTGAGTTCTGGAAGTAGCTCCCTGTACAAAGCTACTAAAATAAATTCTTCGGCCTGAAGCTGAATTGTGATATTTGACACAAATACTTAGGACCATAACTTGTACATTTGATCAGTGCATTTTTTCACTATTCAACCACAAGAGTACTGGAACAAAACTGGCTCCAAACTTCTCCTGGGAAAGGAAAATTTGACCCAATTTCAGACCAGTCAAAAGTCACTTCTACACTATCACCCTGAAACAAGAAAGTAGCATGCAGGGATGCGTTATAGAAAAAGCACCTGTAAGATTTTGCTATTCCTGATGTTAAAAAAACAAACAAACAAAAAAACAAAGAAAAAAAAAGGGGGGGGGGGGAAGAAAGACCTGCACAGTTAAGTTATGCCAGAACATAGTACAAGTCATGACTTCACCAAAGCTTTAGGAAAAATTAAGATGCAAAATTTTAAAATTATTTCACAGTTTTCTTCTGCTCGGTTATTCCACAGAATGATACTTAGATCAAGAGCTTTGAACTGTGGATGAACACTGCCTCTAATTTAAAATGATTGCGAGCAGTTTTGCTTCTTTAGGAAACGAGACAGGTGAAACAGTGGACCCCTATCCCATGAGTATGCATCACCATCCCAAACACAAAAGTAGTATCAACAGAGAAGGCTCACTGGCATGTTTGTGTGTGTAAACAATGCTACAAAAGAAAGGGAGGTTGAAGCAGAAAATAGAAGGAAAGCACCAATCACAGCCTGATTAAACACTGTGAATGTGCTCAGCTATGACAAACATTTTAGGTGGTATGTTAGAGACAGGGCTGTGAACAATTCTGTGAAAAGAAATTCTGTAAAAAAACTGTAGTGAAGGAAATAGATTGCATAGATTCTTTAAAAGCAATCACAACTGCATCAAAGAAACATTAATTCTTCATTTTAACTGATAAAATATGCCAGACAATTTTTTTAACTAAATAGCTCATATAGTCAATGTGTATGCAGGCTATCAGAAATATAATGACCTCTTTACATCATATGCTTTACTTCTTTTTTTTGGCCAAACAAAGTAAGGTTTATCTGCTTAAGAACACCACTTATTGCTATTTAGAAAAGTTTTGAAGAAGAATAAAATTGACTGAAGGCCAATGGAGGGTCTCATTAGACCGAAGGGATTTCATGAATATTTTGTAGACACATTCTTGTGTTCCTGAAAAGCAATATTTCTTCCTGGCAGGCTTCTGTAGTCTCTCTGCTGTTCCTCAACCACTCCACTATGACTGCTGTTCATGTTTCCTGCAAGGAAAGGGTTCCTCAAGTCCTATCCCTAGCCAAATTGTAAAACTATGCATCAATAAGCATTCAGCCTTTGGAAACCAAAGAAACAGGAAAAAGCATATGACACATCTCTTACCTGGTGGTCCCATTGCACACACAATCTGAATATCTACAAGTTTAATCATTGAGCAGTCTTTAAGGTCATACCAGTTCCAGTGATCTAACCACTGCCGTAGTAATTCAACAGGTGGTTGAGCACCATAGACCTCTCGTGCTGGCATATTAACATCATCTACAAATACAACCTGAAAGGAAAAACATAATGGATTCTGCATTTATTTATTTTACTGAATATACGCCACCATTTCACTTAATTCTGGAAACACTGCACATCAATTCACTCCCATTAAAATTAGTGAGAGTAATACACTAAATACATGTTTTTGAAAAGCAGCCCTAAGCTCTTAATGGAGTTGCTGAGTTAAATAAAAATCAAACTCAAGAAGTAACTGTGCCACTCTAAAGCCATTACAAAACATACCTATAGAGGAGAGAAAAACTATGCTTCTCTTCTTATTTCCGAGTGTATTTAATGAAAGATGGTAAACTAATACTTGCTATTTAAACCTTACTGTGCTACTTACACGGCTTTTCTTGGAAAAAAGGAGTCAAGAAGACCCACAAAAATCGCAAACTGCAGTGAGACTATTGTTCTGTTTTTAAATCTATTAAATATTACATCTTTCTTGGCTGCTGATTAAGAACCATCTTCACACAACTAACCTAATGCAACTGATGCAAATTCTAGAAACACATGTATGCATTTTATCTGTCTTTCATCTCATTCTCTAACTGATACAGAGTAGAAATTTGGTCAAAAGAAAGACAGGTTAATTCATGGGCCTTGTATCTTATTTAGCACTGCTATTTGGGCAACATACTGAAATGGTTTGGAGTGTTCTTGACTAATAAAGATCAAGACAGAATTTATCCCTTCAAAGTATCTTTACAGTTTTAAGACTGGGCTAAAATACATCTTAGAAGAATAGCTTGGAGGGGGAGGCAGGGCAATAGCTTAAACCACTTTAACTTTAAATGGTACTTCCTTAAGGAACTTTTAACATTAACACATTTTGCTCTTGGTAACAAGCATTTATTAAATAATAGCTAGGAAATACTGAAACTAAGAAAACAAGGCTGCAAATGTAAAAAGTCTATAGGTACCCTAAAAGTACCAGTATTAAATCATACACACCTATCACTGCATTTTAAACTTAATAATTTCTAAATTTTCCTTAAAACCAAAATTTTTCCTTAACCTAGGTTGGGAAAAAGAAAAAAAGAGATAATGGAAACTCCTTAGATTTCATTTTTCAGCCTCATTGCAACTCCTTGCACAAGAATTTGCTCTCTGGGGCGGGGGGGGGGGGGGCGGGAAGAGGTCCTCTCTAATATCCTCCTCAAGCTTCTGAGTACTCAGAGTTCCATTGATCTTGAATGGTTTGGCAGGCATCACTGGTAACAACATAAAAGCTTTGAAATCTCCTTTAATGCTTCCAAAACAAGTGAACTATCCAGGTAGGAAGGAACCTTGAAGTTCATTGAGTTCAACCTCATGCTCAAAGCTGATTTCTCAACACTGATTTCATACCAGCTTCCTCCGGACTTTATCTAGTCAGGTCTTGAAAACCTTCACAGACAGAGATGCCATAGCTTCTCTGGGCTGGGTTCCTCTGCTTAATTACCCTCATAGCAAACTGCTTTTTCCTTATATCCCATCAGAACCTCCTTTGTTTCTATTTACAACCATTTGCTCTCATTCTCCTGTTGTGCACCCTGATGAAGAGCATCATCTTAACAACTTTTTCATAGGTACTGGGAATCTGCTTTTGGTCCTCCTAAAGCCTTCTCTTCTCTGGCTTGAACAAGCAGAGTTCCCTCTGTTTATCTTCACAGGGCTTGTGCTCCAATCCCCTGGTGATGGTTGGTGGTCCTCTGCTCAATCTCACAGACTCACATAATTGTTTAGGTCGGAAGAGACTTCTTGAGATCATCTAGTCCAACCCTAAGCAAGATCAGCTACAGGCAGGCTGACCAAGACCGTGTTCAGTCAGGTTTTGATTATCTCCACAGATAGAGACTCTACAACCTCTGTGGGCAACTTTTTCCATTGTTTGACCTACTTCACAATAAAAAAGTGTTTTCTTGTGTTGAGATAGAATCTTATGTGTTTCAATTTGTGCCCATTGCCTCTCGACCTTTCAGTGGGCACTACAGAGAACAGTCTGCTCCCTCTTCTTCATCCTTTCTCATCAGGTATTCATGCACATTAATAAGATCCCTGCTGAGCCACTTTATCTTCTCCAGGCTGAACAGTCCCAGCTCTCTCAGCCTCTCCTCTCCAGTCCCTTAATCATCTTTGTGGCCCTGCGCTGGACTCACTCCAGTGAGTCCATGTCTTTCTTGTACTGGGGAGCCCAGAACTGTCCAAAGCACTTGAGATGTGGCTTCACCAGTGCTGAGTAGAGCCTAAGTATTGCCTCCAGCACAACCATCTGGTGTATCAGCCACTCCTTTCAGTTCTGTATCATCTGTGAACTTGCTGAGGGTGCACTCTGTCCCAGCATACATATCCTTAATGAAGAGGTTAAACAGTATTGGCCCCAATATCAACCCCTGGGGTGTACCACTAGTGACTTAATCTGCTTGAACTATCAAAATTCTTCCTGTACTGGAGGGTCCAAAACTTATCACAGTATTCCATTTTAATAAGCACTGAGTAAAAACGAGTAAACACTTCCCTTGGACTGGCAGTCTACATCCACTCCTACCTTATCTTTTCCCTTTATCCAAAGGATCAAGGAGAATACCACCCTTGGTTCCTATATCTTCTTCCTTTGCCCCCAGAGGTCTGTAACCCCTTTTGATATATTCCACATCTCTCTTCACAGTTCACTGATGCCCATGTAGGTGAGCAACAAGAGGTAATAATCTGAAAGCTGAACAAGGTTCTGTAATTTCTGCACAAGATATGAGATCCAGGCCTTGAACAAGTGACAAACCATACATGATTTCACTTCAAGATTTCTATAAAACTCTGAAACCACAATACTGTCAAGATCTATGCTGTCAGCAACAAGTTTACCCATACAGAACTCTTATCTCAAGGATAATATCACAAAATATGGAGGGGGAAGTATGACAATGCTGCTCACAGTTATTCATATCATATAACACATTTTCTTCTGTTGATTAAAACAGGATGCATATTACTGGGAGAAGGGAGAAAGAAGAAAAACATGAGGATCTAAATTAGAAGAATTAGAAGTCTGACAGTTTATTTCAAATTGAGCATCCTTTCTTGACATCAGCTGTAATCAGTTGAGAAAATAATGCATTTACGTATTTGTTTGCATTTAAACACTTATTTACATACAGAAATAGATCAGTTACCATTCTTTTCCCAAGAGGAGGTCCAAAAATTCCTCTTCTCCTTTTGTCCAGCTTGGACATTATAATATTCTGAGTCTGAGCTGCTGTAGTTTGTGCTGAAAAGTTAATGAGCAGTGGCTTGTAGACTTCTTTATTCAAATTATTTAAAAGAAAATTCTGGAAGGATTGTGAAGAGGAGAAAATTAAACTATATACACAGATAAACAAATTTTATATCACTTTAGCAAATAGCAATAATTTTTATTTCATTTAAAATTATAAAGTCGTAATTAATCTCTAAGAGAACTCTAATAATATTTCATCAGATACACCAATATTCTGGAATAATTTAAAACATAATAAACTTCATTTGTCAGACAAAAATTTCTACCTCCAATATAGACATTTTTGCATTTTCTCAAAAAAAATCTACCTATTGTATTATATAAGTTCAGCATGTCAATATTTTGCACACAAAATACTTCATATTACTAATTAGAGTTGACATATATTGCCTGTACTAATTCACACCCAAACGTGCAAAAGTATCCACAGGTCCAAATATTTAGTTTTGATGAGTTTCCAAGAATATTTCCTTTGAAGGGCATAGCAAGAATATTTAAAGATAAGCTTTACCATCAAGACTGGTAGTATTTTATAATGCTAACTACCTCCCAAACTCCCTTACATTAGCTGCAATTTAACATCTGGGGGAAATCTGGATCAAAGTCAGCATTTCAAGTAAGACTGAATGGGACTCATTTCTTACCCACACATGAGTAAAACCACGGCAGGAAGATACCCTTCCATCCTTCCAGCAGTTGATACAGAGCATTATTGCATATAAAGTAATGTTTCTAATGAATAGTTTAATCTCTGCCAACAGCTGTTGGGACTTTCCAGACTGTACAGTCTTTTCAGCAGAAGGAATGTTTAATCTCTATCCTTGAAGGAAAAATCTGAGCTGCTGCACAAAAACATAACAATGACAACTCGTGGAAACTATAAAGAAATGTGACTCAATGGCCATATTTCTTTTACTCTTTTGATCAGTTCTGAACTCCCAAGAAATACCACATTCTTAACTATCACCCCAGAAATGAACTGGGCAGTAGAAACTAGTCATATTCTTCATTACAAACAATTTTTTTACATATGCTTTATTATATTTCTGACATCAATATTCCAGGAACAGTCTTTTATGAACAGGTCCAGTCTTACTATTTAGTTACTTAACATTTATTGTCTTCAAAATTATTTCAGAAAAGTAACTTAAAAACAAAACGAGGTTAAATAATCCTTAGTCAATTACTTCTCAGTTAATTTTTATCACACAAAAGGAAGGAAAGATAACAGATTCAAGACCATAAAGCCAAATTTATTTTATCTGCTTACATAACTTTCAAGTTTTGCTCCCTCTGCAAAACAAGTGAATATACACAGGCTTCACGCTGATTGCACTGGAGCAATCAACAGAAGAAAAATCCTCTACAAAAAGTCACACTGGAGGAACAAAGAACAAGTAAAAGCAATTTTGCACTGCTCAGAGGAATGGCTTCTTCCTTCTCTCTTATGATTTACTTAGAGAATCTCATTAGCTAAAAATGCAATAATGGTTTTGCCGTTATCTCCACTCGCATATCCCCTTTTTGCTTCAAAAGTATACTTTCCCACAGATCTAGATGGAAACCAGTGAAAAATACTGAATTTGGAAAATTCTGTAAATGAACCTCAACAGCATGAACACTCTATTGGCACAGTTCCATTGCCTGTCAGGCTTTAATAGTCTCCCAGAAAGACTGATGGTATCAGGATATAACCCACAGTATCTGTCAGATCTGTCTGAAGAATTAAAATTTATCTAAAATTTTTAATCTAGAGTATTAGAATAATTTTCAATATTTTTATTATGTATTTCTATATTTCTATATATTGTTATTTTAATAACCACATGACAAAATTAAAAAGAACAAAGCATCACTTGGTGACTGGAGATGAAAAAAAAGGAAATACTCTATCCCAACATAACAATGACTCAATTATTTCAAAAAGAAAATAAAGTCTGTTTGCAATTATAAAGACTGACTAATCCCTTTAGACAGACAAAATAATACTTGTAGACATGGAAAACATAAAAAAACATTAATCTTGATCTCTTATTCTAATACCTGAAGCTACAACGCTTTTTACAAGATTGTTACTCGTTTTGATTAGAATTTCACAAGCTCTGAGAAATATATTGCGTTTGGCTGTACCAAGTCATTACTTACATTAAATGTTTTTATTACTTACTATCACGTGTTTTAATTATCATTAGGCACACTCAGAACTAAGTATATCTTGCCTCTTTCAATATAAAAATGCACACTGATAACTTAAAACAGCTGTCAATGATTTGTTTTCTTTTCAGTGCTCATCTTATTTATTGAACAGAATTCAAATCATAATCAAAGACAAAATTAATGATTTTCTAACAAGCTTTTATATGGTACATACCAGTACAAAGATATGGAAAAGTAACGGGCAAAATATTATCCAGTTAGATATCTAACTTCAGATAACAACAACTTGATTTTTTAAGAACACCGCTTCTGCAAATCAGAATCCATGGATTCAAATCAGCCCTCCAGAAAATGGGGAACACAATAATTGCCTGTGAAAAGTTTGACTTAGGTGACTTGTCTACTGTTACAGAGGACATCTGTCACTGACAGGGACAGAAACATCCCCAAAGCTGCTGTTTTCCTGAATTTACTGCAAGTTTTTTAAGTTCTGCAAGTGGAGCAGAGGTTCTACGTAAAACAGTCTTTTTTTCTTTTTTTAAAAAAGTATATAGACGAATACCCGTAGTGGTAAGACTGGAATCCTACAGGGGAGAAAAAAAAGTGTATGATCATGCAATTCAAGAGTTTATCATAATGAATGCACAAGAGATGTCAAATTATTGTATAAGGTAGAATTTATCAGCTTCTGAACTCTCTATTTTACTACGTTAATAGTCTTTTTAATGTATTGTGTGTGTCAAATATAAAAATATGCAATATAATATTAGTCTAGACAAGATGGCTGATTTGAGATACCAATGTATAACATAACTTCTTTAAATATTAAACAATTGTTGACATTGCTACTTCCTAGAAAATTAAAGAATCATGTTGAAACAATTAACTGTTTATATACTAAAAAACTATCCTTTTTTGCCTTTCTGCAGGAAGATTATATCAAGTTTAAAAATCCTAAAACTAGATCAAGTATTAGTATTTTGCCAAGATTTTGTTTCAGAAATAACAGAAATTGTGTACTGCCAAAAGCTAAAGTCAAATAAGATTATCATTATTATTAGTGCTGCTTTTTCATTTTCTCTCAAAGATGGGTAAAGAATATTTGGCATTCTATAAAACAGGACACATAATTGTTTTGATTTCTCTTGAAATGGGCAGCTGCTTTTCATTGCAATGACAGATATAGCTAACTGGTTATCTGAAGAAAACTGCCTGGGAAGATCTTGACTAGCCAATTCCCCTTCCCACTATAGTCTTTTTCTATAAAGAATTCTTTGGTAATACTGCTATTAACTTTTTGACTTCACATTTCTTTCAGGGACAAATTCTTGTTCTTCCCTCTTTCCCCGTGCATGGAATTGCCATAGTAGCATCTGACTAGGAAAGGTTATCTACTAAACTTTTCCACAATAACAGCAGCACACATTTTTGCTGTGTCTAACTCTAAGACGTATGCATTCCTTTTCTTGTTCGGAGCAATCCTGACTGTATGTCTTATTAAATGGTTTAGTCTTTGTGCATCAGTGTCTGTGTAGACTATCCTAAGTCTATCTACAATCACAATGCAAAGTATATTAATACAAGAACCAAACTAAATAGTCCTGTTTGGGTTCTGTTAGCAGCTTATTCCAGTGGATATCTGGGTGCTTCTTAAGAATTTAGTCAGGAAGTGCAGAGAAGAAAAAAAAACCAAAACCCCAAAACCACCACCTTCAGCTACACAACTGCATTTTTAGTTGCCCGTAATTTCATTTCATAATATCCAACAATTCATGTCTCATTTTCCTTTTTAAAAAAAAAGTTATCAAATTATTCCTCATCTTACCCCTTTTATAACTATGTCTAATGTCAGTATTAAAAGTACTTACAGTAATATAGGTACTTTTTCCAGTTCCTGTTGGCCCCACAAATATAGAAGGTTTTTGATGCACTGTCAACAATTCCATCAATGCCATGTATCGAACAGTATCCAGAGTTGGTACAATTATTTCACTAAACATCGTATCTTGAGGTATAGGAGGAGCCGATTTGAGCGTTTCTACCCAGGGTTCCCAAATTCCTGCTCCCTATTTTAATTTATATGGAAGTCATATATTTATAATAAACAGGAAAAAACAGCATAGAACCAATGGAAATAGAAAAATCAAAGTTCTGTGACTTAACAGATGGGGTTATCAATCAATTTTTAAAAGGATTAAAAAATCATTTCATAGGTTTGTTTCAGAATGCAGTGCTTTCAATAGAGAGTACTTGAAACACAACACCTGTGCCCGAAGCATGCAACTACTGAAAGACAGGGACTTTATCTTACCTTTTATATCTGTACACATATTATATATATACAATGGAAAAATACATATATTTATATATACATTATTATAG